CAGCTTACGCGAGCAAGACGTGCTGCTGCAGTAACGTGCTGCTGACGCTCCTGTGGAAACCCGGGGTGACTTGTAGCACATTTTCGGGTTGCAGAGCAGTAGTTGGTCAGCTGAACGTAGCGAACGCAGTGGCACATAGGGCGTGAGCAAGTCCGATAGGTAGGTCGGTGCCAGATCCCTTCCTCCACTCCCGTGCAGGCAAATGAAAGAAAAAGAGGAAGAGTTAGCATAAAGATGTGTGTGTGTGTGTGTGGTGTGTGTGTGTGTGTGTGTGTGTGTGTGTGTGTGTGTTGCTTGCTAGCATCCAACTGCTTTCCCACCGTCCTGTCTCTGTGTGTGTGATTTATAGCTCAGTGACTCATTCAGCACGATGACTGCGTGGCAGTCTTCCAGGTCAGTTAAACATCCAGGAGGAGCACAAGAGAGGATGTTTCTCACACACGTTTACAACCTAATGAGTGTGTGATGTGTGAAACAGCAGCGTGTTGATGCTCTGGTATGTGAGTGTGTTTTCTGACAGCGGCAGGCTTGCTCCCCTCAGGAGTCATCTCATGTTTAAACTGAATCCCTGAATGCATCTTCACGTCTGCGTGCCCACATACATGCTGACATTACTCTGGTCATGTGGGCTCTCTGGTTCCCCCGGTCCAGTTCTCCTCCTGCTGTCTGGAGCTGACACCTACTGACCGGACCCGGATCAGCACTGTTCAGATCTCAGTCACATGTCAGGCCTTCACACGCGCTCCCATAATCGGCTGCTTGCTGCTTTATTTTCTGCAGACAGCGCCTGCAGCACACATGTATTGTTCAGTTCTCACATGCAGGAGAGCTGTTACGTAACCACACGACCCGCTTGCCTCAGACGCTTTATATAAGCACTCATCTTACATAACCCACGACTAATTACATGGTAATGCACACCAACAGAGCAGCTTATGACCCTCTAAACATATGTTTACACACACACACACACACACACACACAACAGTGACTCTGCTGGACAATCACTACAGCACCTTTACATTAAGTTAGTCAATCCTGACACCTCAACATGTGATTGTTTACTTTTATGTTATGTTTACTTTATATTTCAACTTGTAGTTTAGACTCATGTTATTACCATGTTTACATTATACATTTACATTTTTGCACCTTAAACTGGCTGTGTGTGTGTGTGTGTGTGTGTGTGTGTGTGTGTGTGTGTGTGTGTGTGTGTGTGTGTGTGTGTGTGTGTGTGTGTGTGTGTGTGTGTGTGAGAGAGCAAGTGGGCATGTCTTACTTATATTTATTACTACCTCTTACGTGAGCTGTCTTTAATGAGCGCAAAGTTAATTTTGTTGTAAACCTGTGCGATGACAATAAAGTAACCTTCTTCATTATATGTGTGTGTATATAGCATATATCCATCTATATGTATGTACATATATATATATATATACACGTCTTCTTTAAGAAGCTTTTCTGTCCTCCACTCGTTACCTGTATTAATGGCACCTGTTTGAACTCATTATCTGTATAAAAGACACCTGTCCACAGCCTCCAACTGTCAGACTCCAAACTCCACTATGGCCAAGACCAAAGAGCTTTCGAAGGACACCAGGAAAACAATTGTAGACCTGCACCAAACTGGGAAGAGTGAATCTACAATAGGCAAGCAGCTTGGTGTGAAAAATCAACTGTGGGAGCAATTATCAGTAAATGGAAGACATACAAGACCACTGATAATCTCCCTCGATCTGGGGCTCCACGCAAGATCTCATCCCGTGGGGTCAAAATAATCATGAGAACGGTGAGCAAGAATCCCAGAACCACACGGGGGGACCTGGTGAATGACCTGCAGAGAGCTGGGACCACAGTAACAAAGGTCACCATCAGTAACACTACAACGTCAGGGAATCAAATCCTGCAGTGCCAGACGTGTTCCGCTGCTGAAGCCAGTGCATGTCCAGGCCCGTCTGAAGTTTGCCAGAGAGCACATGGATGATACAGCAGAGGATTGGGAGAATGTCATGTGGTCAGATGAAACCAAAGTAGAACTTTTTGGTATAAACTTAACTTGTCGTGTTTGGAGGAAGAAGAATACTGAGTTGCATCCCAAGATCACCATACCTACTGTGAAGCATGGGGGTGGGAACATCATGCTTTGGGGCTGTTTTTCTGCTAAGGGGACAGGAAGACTGATCCGTGTTAAGGACAGAATGAATGGGGCCATGCATCGTGAGATTCTGAGCCAAAACCTCCTTCCATCAGTGAGAGCTTTGAAGATGAAACGTGGCTGGGTCTTCCAACACGACAATGATCCCAAACACACCGCCCGGGCAACAAAGGAGTGGCTCCGTAAGAAGCATTTGAAAGTCCTGGAGTGGCCTAGCCAGTCTCCAGACCTCAACCCCATAGAAAATCTGTGGAGGGAGTTGAAAGTCCGTGTTGCTCGGCGACAGCCCCAAAACATCACTGCTCTCGAGAAGATCTGCATGGAGGAATGGGCCAAAATACCAGCTACTGTGTGTGCAAACCTGGTAAAGACCTATAGTAATCGTTTGACCTCTGTTATTGCCAACAAAGGTTATGTTACAAAGTATTGAGTTGAATTTTTGTTATTGACCAAATACTTATTTTCCACCCTGATTTACAAATAAATTCTTTAAAAATCCTGCCATGTGAATTCATGGATTTTTTTTCACGTTCTGTCTCTCACAGTTGAAGTGTACCTATGATGTAAATTACTGACCTCTGTCATCATTTTAAGTGGGAGAACTTGTACAATCGGTGGCGGACTAAATACTTTTTTGCCCCACTGTACATAACAACTAAAAATCCAATTTGAATGAAAAGGAGCAGAATGAAGAAAAACATCTTATAATTTCTGCCCCCCTTTTCCAGAAGAAATGATCCATTTATATACAATTTCCATTTGTCAGACGCACACACACACACACACACACAGATTCATTTAGAACGTTTTCCTGTTCTAAATTCCAGAGCGATCATGATCATTGATTTAATTTACATTTTCATAATTATTTAGTACACTCAGTTTGGTACATTTTTTGAATATATAAAATGAAAGTTTTTTCTATTTCCCTTTTAAGGTTGTTCCATAATTTAACACCATTTACAGATATATTCCACTCCTTAATTTTAGTTCTAAATCTAGGTTTTGTAAACATATCAGTTTCTTTCAGCGTGTAATTACTAGTTCTCTTTTCAAATATCCCCTGAATGTTTGTTGGCAGAGTACCTAAATTGGCCCTAATACGTGGTTTGTAAGATTTTCCAGTCTTTTAAATCATGAAATTTCAGTAATTTATATTTAATAAACAACAGGTTTGATGGATCTCTGCAGCCACTATAATTGATGATTCTCAGAGCTCTTTTCTGTAAAATAAATAAGGGTTGTGGATAGTTTTTGTATGTTGCTCCCCAGATTTCTACACACAGGGTATCTGCAGGTCCTTAAAAAGTCTTAAATTAGCTTTTCCAAATTTAAGGCCTTAAAAATCCTTAAAAATGACAAATAATCCTTAAATAGTTTCCAAAGGTCTTAAATTACCAAAGACCCAATAAACAAGATTCTTTTATTTCTATAAAATTTTCGTGAATTCCTAGTTAGTTTGGCATTTTTTGTGTATGATACTGGCGTAAGCGGAACCGTATACATTCGGTTGGTTGTGAAAGGGGGCTATTTTTAGATGAGCACGCTAGTGGGAGTTTGCGCCATGGGGAAGACATGGCAACATTAATGGTAACTGGATGGCTAATCCCACATTCACGGCGTGGTTAGCACCTGTTCTAGGGAATAGCTGGAAATTATAGCTTAAATTTAATTTAAAAAATAGCTTAAATTTGGTCAAAGTGGCCTTAAAAAAGGTCTTAAAAAGTCTTAAATGTGGCTCCCTTAAACCTGCAGATACCCTGTACACATTAAGTCAAGTATGGAACAATCAGTGAATTGTACAATGCCAACAAACCAGAATTAGTGAGTAAAAACTTGACTCTATGTAATACTCCTAAGGATTTGGCAATCTTACCTTCTCTGTAACTAATACGGGATTTCCATGACAAGTCTTTATCAATAAAAAGTCCAAGAAATTTAGTTTCTTTTACTCTTTGAATTTCAGTCCCATCTATTTCCAGTGACACATCACTGTTCCTTTTATCATTAAACAATATAAAATTTGTTTTATTAAGATTCAGTGTCAATCTATTTATATCAAACCAGTTTTTAATTTTAATCAGTTCATCATTTATCACTTTAGCCACCTCCTCAATATTTGATCCTGAGTAAAACAGTGTTGTGTCATCTGCAAACAGAATGGTAACGAGTGTCTTAGGTACATTTACCAAGTCGTTAATAAACAAAATGAACAGTTTTGGTCCGAGGACCGACCCTTGTGGCACTCCCCAATAATATCACATAGTTTTGATTTATGATCCTTTATCTGAACAAACTGTTTCCTTTTTTCTAAATAAGTTTTAACCCCTTTGATGAGCCACACCTCTTATTCCATACTGACTTAATTTTCGAAGTAACCTTGAGCGATCAATGACGTCAAAAGCTTTTTTCAAGCCAATGATTGGCTCGGTTAGAATTCTCAGGGTTCTTTGAACGGGAGCGTTACCATCATCAATGCTGTCATTAATTATCTTGAATTGAATTTCAAATCTTTGGAGGATAAAATGGTGGATCCCGTTGGTCTTTTGTTGTCCTTTTAACCTGACTTGCTAGTTTTGTCTTTCTTTCTTTAGTTTAACTAACTGATCTTGCTCCTGCTTTTCCTTTCGCTGTATAATGTTTTATCCGTGTTGCACTTTGGGATCAAAGATGGAAATCAGCTTCTTGCTAACTCGGGCGTACTTATGTAAGAAGGATGTTCTTGAATATGCTTTGTCCTTTTAAAATAATTAAATCTAATCAAATGAATCAATCTTTGTTTGGGCTGGAAGTGATCCAACCAGAGTCGGATCGTTGCTTTTACTGATTCTCTCCTCTCCTCCAGGCAGCTTCAAGAACTGCAGCGACAGAAGGAGATGGAGATGGAGCAGGAGCGTCAAGAGCGAGAGCGTCAGGAAAAAGAGCGTCAGGAACATGAACAGGACGAGCAGGAATGTCAGGAAAGTGAACGACTCGAGAGACTAGAGCGAGAGATCATGGAGCGTCAGGAGCACGTGTGCCAGGAGCAGGAGGTGCAGGAGGAGAGGCAGCAGCAGTGTGAGATGATGGAAAAGGAGAAGGTTGAGGAAGAATGGCTGGAGAAGGAGCAGCTGGACAGAGAGAGAGGGCGGCGCAGCTCCAATGCTGGTGAGTGTTATGCTCACACACACACACTCTGGCAGCGGTAAAAGCCGGGACGGGGTGGGGTGTACCGTCCAGAGCCGAGCCCAACTCCACAGCTGCCAGAGCTGCATGTTCAGGCTATTTTCCTGTTTGATGTTCCCACACACAGCGCTGCTAGAGCCGATAGTAATGCACCGTAGGTGGGCCCGGGACAGAGAGAGAGAGAGAGAGAGAGAGAGAGAGAGAGAGAGAGAGAGAGGTAGTTGGGTAAGGGAGAGAGAGACTCCTCCCACATCAGCAGGTTCAGGCTGGTTTCTAAAGCTTGGTTTATGCTTCATCAGCACGAGAGCGGAGTCGCACACTTTAGCTGACTCGAACGCTCAACTTCTTTTTTACAAATGGTTTGAATGTTTCTGACGGCACACGTTAGTTATCCTCATGTAACCCTCTTATCTCTATTAAGGTAGCGCGACTCAGGGGTGCGAATGACCGCAGTCACCAATTCTTGTCATGTGTCTTGCCCATGCATGTCTGATCTCTGAGTTGTGTGTACTGAAACTCTAATTTCCCTCTGGGATTAATAAAGTATCTATGATTGATGTGATTGATTGCAGCACACGTTGCAATCAAATCTCAAATGGATTAACACTTATACGTATACGAGTAATTCATAATAAGTGTCCCCAGCAACCTTCCAGCCACACTCAGGTTTACAGCAGCATTAACGCTAACTGTCAGCCTTGGCACGAACACACAGAGTCCCACAGGATGAGAAGTTTAGAACGTAAGAATTAGGCTAGCTATGGTGGAAACATCAGAGCACGGTCGTGTGATTGGGGTTGGTTTTGCTAAAACACACAAGGGCTGCAGAAATGTACAGAAGATGAATCCAAGAAGAGAAAATCAGTTTGGACCTATAATTATATCCAGAACAAGCTCTCCCTTCAGTTTTCTTTCAGTCACTACATCCCTCCGTTCATCACTCGCCACCTCTCTACATCTCTACCCTTTACGTTCTCCATCATCAGTAACTTTTTACATCCTTCGCTATATTTCTTGTTCTGTCACCCTCTTTTTATTCAGTGTTGCTCTGTCACTTTCTAAATCACTCTGCAGATATTTTTGCACGAGTTTTGTTTTAAAACCATCTGTGAGCCCGTCAGCGTTTTTGATTTGAACTTTTTTTATAGTGAAGCATCTATCTGGGCTGTGTTTACTACTTATTTAAAGTTGTTATAACCAATCTGGAAGCCAGGTTTGAGTGAGGCCAGCTCAAGGGGCCATTTTGGTTTTTTATTTTTGACACCAACAAGGAAGCGGCAAAAATTGCAGTTCCACCCTCATCCACTAGGGGCTGGCAGCAGAAGTGAGCAAATCCTCATTGAATCCCATGTTAAAAATACCAATTTAACAGCAGAAATGACCATGTTTACTGCCTGGTTCACAAAACCACTTTAGGTCAAAAATATCCGGTTCACATCCATGACAACTCAGAGGAGGTGAATTTTTTTGTAACTCTTCTGTTTGAGTGGAATTAAACACTTAAAGTTCTGAATAATTAATGAGCATCAGAGCCAGTGACTTCAGAGCTAGCTCCGGGGAAAGGCCTCAGTCACACGTTAACAGATGTTCGGCCATTTTGATTCTCTGAACTTTAGCTGTGTCCTCTGTACCTTTGGATGTTAATCATGGAATTATTTGGACAACGAGGGCAAGCTGTGGTCACCGATCATCCAAGCAGTTTCTGCTTCGTTTTATCAGTAAGTACATTTATGTTTATGTACCTTATTACGCTGGTTGAACGGGGGGATGCTCTGTCATTTAGAAGAAGAAGAAGACGGTCTTTTATGTAGCGCCTTTCAAGATAAAAATCACGAGGCACTTCACAAAAACAATAACAAAAAAAATTAAGTATAAAAAGATTTTTAAAATATGTTTAAAAGGAGAAAAGAAAAAAATGTGAGTAAAGGGAGAGAGAACATGAATAGGAAAGAGGGAAATCAGTGGATCCCAGGAAAGGCAGAACAAGGAGAGGGTGATGAAGGTCCCACCAAAGCCTGAAAAGATGTGTTTAAAGGAGACCACTGAGTCCACTGATCTCAGGCTCAGGGGGAGAGAGGTCCAGAGTCTGGGGGCCACAGCAGCAGATGATCTGTCACCTTTGACCTTTAGCCTGGTGCTGCACAACCAGTAGGCTCTGGTCACTGGACCTCAGGGAGCGAGATTGACGGGGGTTCAGTCTCTTAGCCTCCTTGAGGTTCTTATGGTCGGTCCATATGATTATGGGGTGTTCAGAGAGATTTAGGAGACTCTTTGTTCACATGGGATGGGTGGTCCTAGGGTATGGGGTAGTCAGGGTGCGGTTTTGGTGGTGGGCGGTGATGGAGCACTTGACGTGGGTAGGGGGACTGGTGGAGGACTGACCCTAGATATTTGCCTGCAGTGAAATGCCAGGAGTCTGGTAGCCAATGGTCTGGAGTTTAAGAAGGCGATGGAGGTTATGGACACACCGCCAGATGGTATTTGTGTACAGGAAACGTGGCTGATACCGGTTTTGTGTTTTAAATTGTATGGTTATGTTTGTGAGAGGTGGGATAGGGTGGGTAGGCCAGGTAGGGGTTGTGCCATGTTTCTTAAAGACGGGCTGCAGTATCGTCGGCGACAGGTTGTCGGTGACCTGGAGTGTGTGGTTGTTGAGGTGTGCTCTGCTAAAGGGGTGGTGAATTTTTATAATCCGGTTATGGGCTTGGTGGGTGAGGCTCTTCACAGTTTGTTGAGTGAGGATGCCGCAACGGTGTTGTGGGTCGGTGATTTTGATGTTCGCAGTGGCTTGTGGGGGGACATTTGCAGCACGTCGGGGCCTAAGGACTACGGTCATGTCGCTGTGGGGTATAGTTCACAAGATTTCGGGTGCTCAGTTGTGGCATCACCCGTGCTTGGTGATGGGGGCCAGTTGGCCGTCAGAAGATGGGACAAAGGCAAACTTGTTGGGTGCTCATTTTCAGAAAGTTTATACCTCGGCAAACATCACTTCCTATTTTCCCCAGTTCCTCCAGAGCTCTGAGTTCATCCAAAACTCACGCCGAATCACCATCCTGGGGAATCAAACCAGATTTTTCAGTGGAAAATGTGTCCTTTGTCTGCATCTTATTTATGTGCCTTCTGTTTGTAGCCTTTCAGGTCATCTCCAGCCCCTCCAGTTGTAGCTCCAGCCTCTTTGTCCCCAGCTCGGTGTGTGTGTGTGTCATTCCCCAGCTTAGTGTGTGTGTGTGTGTGTGTGTGTGTGTGTGTGTGTGTGTGTGTGTGTGTGTGTGTGTGTGTGTGTGTGTGTGTGTTCTTCTCCAGTCAGGTCCGGTGTCCTCCCCTGCTCCTCCTCCCTGATTAGGTATTGCCTTCACCTGGTTCTCTCCCCACACACCTGCAGCTCATCTGCCTCCCATTATGCCCCAGTCTATAAAGCCCTGTCTGTTTCTCATTGTCTTGTCGGTTCATTGTTGTTTGTCAGCGTGATTTATTCTGTCAGTCTGCCCGTTCCTCTGGTGTTTTTGGATCTCCTGATCATTTCCTGATTTTTGGATTTTGGCTCCCTGCCTTTTGGATTTATTTTTATTTTTGGACTCTTCCTACAATAAAAGGATTTTCTTTATATCAACTCCTGCCTCGTGTCATCCTGGGTATCTGCGTTTTGGGTCCAAACAGTCCTCTCAACGTGACAGAAACATTGCTCAGGTAGCCCGTAGCATTTAAACCATGCCCAATTGGCAGTGACCCCTCCTTTCTACGGGAGCCGTCAGCAGCACGTTACTGCAGCAGCACGTCTTGCTCGCGTAAGCTGCTGCTTGGCCCTTCCCACGAGACGCGTAGCAGCAGGGGAGCAGCTGTCACCGACCGAGCACGAAGTCACACGAGTGACTTCGTCAGTAAACACAACAACAAGCAGGAGAAAATTACAACATGGTTTGTGTTTTATGTTCTGTCCGTTTTATAATCGCCAAAACGGACCTGAAAAACAAAGGAGACCGCTAGCTAGGTGATAACTTCTCACGGGGCCGCACAGTTAGTAACTTATTTTTTAAAGTAAAGCAACCGGGAGGAAGTAAGTTTCTTTATTCTGAAAATCTCGGTAGCTTTGCTCCGTTTCCGCGTCTGATTTCCTGTCTTTCCTTCCCCAAAAATGTCGATCTTGGCCCGTTTCAGAGGCGTAGCGCGTGTAAAATAGAAACGGCGCGTAAGGGCTACGACATGCTGCTCCTGAGACGCGGCCGACTCGCGCTGCTGACGGCTCCGGTGGAAAAGGTTCTGTTGACCACACCGGTTCCTATCAGCAGCTATGACGTGTTGCTGCAGTAACGTGCTGCTGACGGCTCCGCCACGGCTCCGGTGGAAAGGAGGAGTAAGGGGCCTAAAGTGTGCCATGAAAACATCCCCCACACCACTACACCACCACCACCAGCCTGCACAGTGGTAACAAGGCATGATGAATCCATGTTCTCATTCTGTTTACACCAAATTCTGACTCTACCATTTGAATGTCTCAACAGAAACTGAGACTCATCAAACCAGGCAACATTTCTCAGTCTTCAACTGTCCAGTTTTGGTGAGCTGGTGCAAATTGTAGCCTCTTTTTCCTATTTGTAGTGGAGATGAGTGGTACCCGGTGGGTACGAGCTATTAACAAGATAGGACTTTACTGTCACACCGAATATTTTACTGGAGATGTTTTTCTGCTCAACATCGACTCCTTAAACATAAACCAGGTCTGTATAGCCAATGTCACCCTGTTCTTCATGCACCAACAACTCCAGCTGCTGCATTCAAAGTTCAATGAAACGGGGATCCGTGCTGCAACCGCCACAATGAATATGCATGTTTCCAGTAGTGCAGACTTGAACATGTTTGCCAAATGATTTGTGCTAAATTAGATTTTTATTTGACTTCAAAAAATGCAAATTTTTACATTAGATATTAGAGAAAATGGCGACGGCTTTCCTTCAAATTTAAATTCAAATTCAAAAATACTTTATTAATCCCAGAGGGAAACTGATTGCTGTAGTAGCTCAGAATAATAATAATAATCAAGTCATCAAAGAGTTGTTGTATATTACAATGGCTGTTGGCAGGAAGGATCTCCAGTAGCGGTCAGTGTTGCAGCCAAACTGAAGAAGCCTCTGACTGAAGACACTCTTCCGTTGTCGGACAGTCTTGTGAAGAGAATGCTCAGGGTTGTCCATCATTTTCTTGATTCTCTGGAGAATCCTTCTTTGCATCATCTCCTCCAGCGGTTCGGAAACTGCCGAATCTCTGGCTGAGTACTTGAAAGGGCTTGGAGTTCCTCCGTCTTGTTGGCCAGTGATCTCACATCCAGGGTATCCGCGGGTCCTTGAAAGGTCTTAAAAAGTTTTAAATTTACTTTTCCAAATTTAAGGCCTTGAAAATCCTTCAAAATGACAAATAATCCTTAAATACAGTTTCCAAAGGTCTTAAATTACCAAAGACCCAAAAAACTAGATTATTTTATTTCTATGAAATTTTTGTGAATTTCTAGTTAGTGTTCAGCATTTTTGTGTATGATTTTTGGCGTAAGCAGAACCATGCACGTTCAGTTGGTTGTGAAAGGGGGCTATTTTTAGTTGAGCACATTAGCTGGTTAAGCTAGTGGGAGCTTGCGCCATGGGGAAGTGCAAGTTTAATGGTAACTGGATGGCTAATCCTACGTTCGCGACGTGGTTAGCACCGGTTCCAGGCAATAGCTGGAAATTATAGCAGAAATTTAATTAAAAAAATTAGCTTAAATTTGGTCAAACTGACCTTAAAAAAGGTCTTAAAAAGTCTTAAATTTGGCTCCCTTAAACCTGCAGATACCCTGTCACATTTCCCACTATGAATCGATGGAAGAGATGGTTTGAATTTCCTCTTTCTCTGTCTCCGTTTTGCTCCCGCTCTGCACCCACGCTTCTTGCATTTTAGCTCATTTGGGATTTGTGGCTTCAACTGAGGTATTATTTCAGCCTTTCCAATGTTAATCAGCTGCTCCCGATTGTAAACCAGCTTGTTGCCATGGTTACGCGTCATAACAAATGCTCAAAAAGTGAAAAAAGCTAAAAAAAATAGCAGTAAAAATCCTCCAAGCTTCACAGCACCAGAAACAGAAAAGTGAAGTGTCCAAAAAATACAGTTTTTCTTGAAACTATAAGAAAAAATGCTCAAGAAAAGGCAAAACTTACATATAGTCAACAGAGCTACTCCAACATGCAGCCACCCAGAGCAGCGCAGTTCCAGAAAAAGCCATCCCTCGCAATTAGGCTGCCATTTTTGAAGTCAGGTGGGATGGCTTGATGAGTACTTCAGGCGAGTGACTTCCAAGTGCATCGTGATGTGTCGGAGACTCCTGGGTTAGCCTATAGAAAAGCCCTTCCACACAGTTACACTGCACAAGCATTAACAGGCAGGTTTACATAGAAACTGTTCATTACTTTATTGTTGAAATACTTTTGTCACTCTGAGTTTAACATGTAGGCTGCACATCTAAATAGTCTTCTACCCCCTTGTCCCGCATCCCGTCCTCGTCACTGATAGAAAATAGACTCGGGGAATGCTCGGGTTAGAAAGTCCTGACAGATCTATGTCACACTGTCGCTTAACGTTCATGAACTCACCCATCGTTGATGACGACAGGCAACGCTGTTGTGGGTTTAACGCACAGGAACCATGTGTTGACTTGTTGAAGCTAACCGCTAACACGCAGCAGATTTTTGCCAGGCTTGTATTAAAACATCAACGTTGCAAAGCAAACAGTCAGTGGTAGAGTCATGTTGCTGTTAGCCAATCAGAGGAGAGATGTCCAAATATCAGGAAATAAGAGCCCACAGAGATTGACTCACAAGTCGTCGTTTTGTATCAGAGACAGCAGATGTGTTGAAAAACGAGAGCTGAACAGATTGTGAGAGTTAAGCAGATGTTTAGAGAAGACGAGACCTGGTTGTTGGTTCAGAGCCTCGTCTATAGGTAGGTGACTTCTGTACGGACCTGAAACACAAGCTGCTCTTGCAGGTGGATCAGAGGCGGTTCATGTAGCCACAGAGACACCCGGTCTACTTTCTTCTCGGCTACAGTTCAGAGCTCTCTACAGAACCAGAACTCGACTTCAGAATGTTGGACCCGTCCCTCTGTCGCAGCTTGCTACAGTAGATTACAAGAGAACTTCAGTTTTTGACCTTGGTCCTGAGGACAGGTTCTGTTCTGGCGGTTCTGGTCCTCAGGCTCTGTGTCTCAGTCCTCTGTGTTGACGCGTATCCACTAACATCCTGTAGTGATCTCAGGTTATCCAAGTTTGGTTCCTGCTTCATCTGCTCCTTTTCTTTTGTCCTCCCTCAATCATTTTCTCTCCTCTCCTTCTGTTCTTTCCTACATGTTTGCACAATGGCTGCCCCCCTCCCCCCACCCCACCCACCCACCCACACACCCCCTTACAACCCCGTGTCCCTGACCTGGCCCGGTTCCAGCCTTTGATAGCACGCTCCACAACACCACACCTCAGGAGTGTGGCAGGATGTCTTCCACGCATGTGTCTCCATCCACCCCCACCTACCCAGCTCCCAGCATGACGTCATCCTCATCCACTGCTCCCCCAACCCCGCCACTCAGGCAGTCAGCCTCCCGGTTTGCCACGTCTCTGGGTTCGGCCTTCCACCCGGTCCTGCCTCACTATGCCACCATTCCCAGGCGACAGCTGGCTTTTCCTCAGGCTCCGTCTCCTCCTCCAGCCCAGGTCACCTCTCCTCTCCCCGCACCCAAGTCCATGGTGTGCTCAGCATCCAACTTTACCCCATTACCTCCCTCCCCTCCGGTCATGATTAGCAGTCCACCAGGAAAAGCCATGGGTCCACGTCCTTTTGTCCCCATGGTTGCCCCGTCCCCTCTGAGCCAGAAGCCTCCATCGCCGTCGCCCAATGGTCCCCCCACGTTCCCTGCACCTTCCCCTGTGACCATCGCACACAGCCATACCCCTCTTGGCATCACCTGTCAAACGCCACCTCCCCCTCCTACCCCTTCTCCTCTCCCCTCACCCATGGCTTCCTTGACATCTTCCTCGTTTGTCTCATGTCCCCCGTCCTCGTACCAGCCTCCCAACGTGCCGTCTCACTTCACAGTGCTCCCTGCTACTGCAGCTGCTACCACCTCTGCCTCTGCCGAGCACCTCTCCCTCCCCGTGGGTCCGGACCGGTCAGGGTCGGGAGAGCCGGAGCCCTGCCCGGTTCTGGGGGGCTCCTCCTGCCAGCCCCAGGGTAAGGCCTCCAGTCTGAATGCTGCTTTCTTCTTCTGTTCTTCTTCTCTTTGCTTCTGACTCACATGCTAACACAGGTGTGATGACTGTTTGTGGTGTACTGTCTTAAAACCGGCCTCAGAATAAAGTGTCCTGTTAAACCATTTAGGTCAGGGGTCGGCAACCTGCGGCTCTGGAGCTGCACGCGGCTCTCATCCATCTGATGCGGCTCTCTGTGCTTGTAAAATACTGAATGAATATTAAAATAAAATTATTTTAGTTATTCTGCTGCTGCCGTTGATCGACGCGCTCCAAGCCCCTCTCCACTCGTTGTCCACCTTAAGTGAGCGCTGACAGCGAGCTGCGCTGACCGGTGCCCAGCTCAGGTGTTCTGGTGGGAATCTTGTCTTGAGGGATTTAGTTACCTCCACAATCAATCAATCAATCAAAATTTATTCATGAAGCGCTTTTCATGCAAATGCAGCTCAAAGAACTTTACAGTATTAAAAACAACCAGACAGCAGTCGGTTTCCCACCCCTCCCACACAGATTCACATAAGAGATCCCCTTTGTTTCTCCCTCCTCCCACCCTCAATCCCGTCCCAAGCAGATGCAAACGCCCGCACGCACACACACACACACACACACACAGACACGCACACATGTAATAGAGAAAGGGCAGCTGGCTGAGTGCAGATGTAGTAGATGCAAAGAAGACGAATACGCCATCAAAGGAGCCAACTGCACCGGGGGCACCAAGACTGGCAGCAATAGCCTTGGCATAGAGTAGACATGGGAAGCTCCCCGGCCGCCAGAGCCCACCGCTGCCCCCGGGGCAGCCGGCCCCCACAGAGGAAACACTAGTTTACTAATGAGACTAAGATAACAAGTTAAGAAACAAATGAAACAAAAATAGCTGATAAATAGACATCTAGATCAGAGGTGTCAAACTCATTTTAGCTCAGGGGCCACATTGAGGGAAATCTAGTCCCAAGTGGGCCGGACCGGTAAATTAAAAACAACTTCAGATTGTTTTATTTGTTTTAATACAATCAATATAAAACAAGGCTGGAGCCTGAGGACAGCGTATCCAAAATAGTACAAGTACAACACCTGAAGTGTACTTGAAAATTAGAAAGAAAAAAAAAATCAATATATTAAAAAACATTCCTTAGTGATTCAGAGTTTACAGATCACATGGCTAGATCAGTTTCATGCAGCACTTAAAGTATATTTGACTCATTTTACTTTACATCTTTTAGCTTCACCAGCGCATCAACATCAGAAGTCACATCCTGAGTGGCGGCCAACTTCAGGATGGGATTCAAGTTCTTGTGTGAGCCTTGAGCGCAGCTTTGTTTTATTTATACTCATTACAGATAAAACTTGCTCACAAAGATACGTTTATTTTCACTCTACATTGTAAAGTATGAAAATAAAGTTTACACAACCATCTCGTGGGCCGGATTTAACCCGCTTGCGGGCCGGATTCGGCCCGCGGGCCGCATATTTGACACCCCTGATCTAAATAAAACACTGTGATAAAAGACGACCAAGTAGAAAACATATAATTAAATTTATAAAATATTGTACAACAAAGTATTAAGACTGGTTAAAACTAATAATTATTACAAGTTAAAATAAATATGTAGGAAAATATGTGTTATTTAATTAAAGAGTCAGTAATAAAACACTGATAAAATATATAAAAAATGGTAAAAACAGGCTAAAATCGATCAAAATCACTTAAAAGCTGTACTAAAAAGGTGAGTCTGGAGCCTGGCCTTAAAGGATAAAACGATAACGATAAAATGTCAGCGCGTCGGCACGCGTCAGGGTAATTCTTTCAAAACGACCAACATTCTTGAGGTTTCCCCATCAAAGCAAATGTTCAAATACGTGAAATATGTGGTCAACGCAAATGCTTCTATTTACCTGTTTTGCCTTCTTGTGAAGATTGTTGCTACCAGAAACATTAAACTTGTTTAACACCAGTGCCATGCGCCATTATCTCCGTCGCTGTAAATCCTTTTCTTACCTTTTCAACATTGTTTAATGTAAAGTTTCGTTCTGTACAAAGTTTATTCACAACGATCCAACGAGACAGAGCAAGGATTTGTGTTCTGAACAGTTTAAAGAGCAAGTCACCCCCAAATCTACTTTTTTTTCTGATAAACTAAATAAACGAGTGTCTAATTGTGCTGCAGACACGCGTGGTTCAGTGCGTCTTACTTAAAATTTAAATTTTCTGCCTGAAACTCAGTGTTGTGTCATCGTCGGGTAAAAACTCTGCACTGTATTTGAATTTAAATCTGCCACCGCTATTGGCTAAGAGGTACGCTATGATGTAAACTGGTTCATTATGATGTCACAATGCCGTTGTGAGCCTGTGTGTGTTTTTGTTAGTGGCTCCGCCCTCTCGGTCTGCCAGGCAACAGCATTTGTTGCATTTTTCAAACATGAAGTGGGAGTGAAGTACGTTTTTTGTAGGGGGTGACTTGCTCTTTAAAGCAGCTCTTGGCTGTCTTTGGGTGGACCCGAGTGCCAGTGGGCGGGCCCAGTAGGGCCTGGTAGGCCCACCCACAACACCACGACTGCTGCGGCTCCCAGGGTTGTCGTTACTGTGGGGAACGGGTAATAATGGCTCTTTGATGGGAACAGGTTGCCGACCCCTGATCCAGGTGGACCTCTGATCTGAGACTGTGGTGATGTTTATCACAGCAGCTGACTGGCACACGTCTTAAGGAACCTTTGTCTGAATCAGCAGTTATTGTTTCAGAGACTCTCCTCCGTCCTTTTGGGATAAGACTCCCTCATGACCCCGCCTGAACTCGTGGAGTCTGCTTGTGTCTGATACCTCATCCTCCAGCCTCCAGAAACAAACTAGGCTGCTGTTTCTAATCATTGAACTGTGATAAGTAGGGATGCACCAACCTGTGGAGTACTTAAATGTGAGCACTCGCAGATGCAGGGATTCAGGTCAGCTGTGCTCATCAGCAGCCTGGAGGAGAGGAGGGGGGGGGGGCGGCGGCTGAGGGGGTGTTACGAACGGCAGCCTGACCTCTCCGGCACCAGGAGCTGGCTCTGCCCTGCTGCACCAACCTCTCCTCGTCCCTGCTGCAGGCCGCTGAGTGGGAACAGCTGATCTCACTCCCGCTGATTAACAAACCAGGATAAAAGGGAGAGTCTGCCAGCAGTCGGGAGACAACGGGGAAGACAGCTGAGTGACCGACAGACAACAGACAACACTCAGGTTTTTGCTGTTGATCTTTAAGCTTTGATGATGATAGTAACCGGTATTTGGACTTGAGTAAAGCCCTTCACTTGTTAACTCGTGGATCCTTGGGTGATCCTGTGCAGCAAACTCACTTCCCTGTTGTTCTCCAGACTCTTAAGGTCTTATGAAATAAAAAAAACTTTATGGTTAAGTATAGACCCTTTACATTTTGGTTACCAGTAATAGTTAACCTGCAGCCCTTGATGGCATTTTTCGTTGCATCTTTTCCTCCTGAGTTGATTTGAACTGCTGAACGCTCGGATTGCGGTAAGCAACAGACTGAGTGGGGCTCGAACCTTCTGATTATGGGGCGAGCACTTAACTCCCGTGCCACCATTGCCTATGTTTAAGGTGTTAAAAAGACAAATTCACAGCGAGAAGATGGTTTCTCTTCAGCAAACGGACACTAGGGGGTGCTAAAAGCAAGCAAAACTGCTTAATATACCTTTAAACGAAATGTGGACCATACAAACAACCCTTTTGGAGTCAAAATGGAGTTTTCGATCAAACATGGCCGACTTCCTGTTTAGTTTACCACATGGGTGCAAGAGACGTTTTGTGAGGATCGGTGAGTACTATAAGTGTGAAAAATTGCATAACTCTACTTTACAAAAAGGTTGGGAGGAGCTTATTTGTCACCTTCTAGGAAGTGCCATGGAGCCATTTTTCTTACCATTTTTTGAGACCATTAAAATACAAAATTTCACACCACGACTGACATGTGCAAAAATACAGTTATTGGAGGTGTTAAGACCTCCAAAAAGCCAATTTCTTTGGCGGAAGACTGAGAATACTAAACAGAGCAGACATGATGGGCCTTTGCAGCGCATTTGCTGCTCAGGCCTAAACATCGAATCTATGAATTAATGCAGTAAAACAATTTCAGAGTCACAAATACACATTTAGCACTTCTATTACACACTAAGAAAAGCTTCACCTATGTCATTTAAAATAATACATACAGTGTTTGCCTGGCTGACCAGCAGCAGAATACAAAAATATAAAATAACAAAAAAACTGTCCTCCAGTCTCGGAACATTCAGCCTTTATTTATTTGTTTGTTTGTTTGTTTTATTCTTTATTTAACCAGATGAGTCTATTGAGAACTCATTCTCGTTTACAACTACAGTCCGTCCAATAGGCAGCAGCAACAGCCTTGAGGAACCGAACATGAATAAATGGTAAATAGCTTGTATTTGTATAGCGCCTTCTTAGGGTTCTACAACCCCCCAAGGCCCTTAACAACACATTCACCCATTCACACGCTGCAATGTAGCCACAGCTGCCTGGGCTCGCACTGACAGAGGCAAGGCATGCTGAACACAGGCACCACCGGACCCTCCAACCACCACCGGCAGGCATGGCGGGTCAAGTGTCTTGCCCAAGTACACAACGGCAGCCTTCTCTGGTCAGAGTCGGGATCAAACCTGCAACCTTCCGATTACTGGACAACCCGTTCTACCTCCTGAGGTACTGCTGTCCCAGTAAATACATAGAAGGTGTTTCCTGTTCATAACTTTTACAGACAGGATTTCTAGGCATAGCCAAGGTGGTGAGGCAATCAGTTGTGGTGGCCAAAGGATTGGATCTCTGCTTTTGATGTGGTCCTGTTGGCTTCATCAGACCGTGACGCCCAGCTTTCGCTGGAGTGGTTCACAGCCACATGTGAAGCAGCTGGGATGAGAATCAGCTCCTCCAAATCCAAGACCGTGGTCTTCAGTCGGAAAAGGGTAGACTGCCTTCTCCAGGTCAGGGACGAGGTCCTTCCTCTAGTGGAGGAAAATAAGTATCTCCTGGTCTTGTCCACCCAGTAAGGGAAAAATCGAGCAGATTGATAGGCGGATCGGTGCTGCATCTGCAGTGATGTGGGTGTTGGACCGGTCTGTCGTGGTGAAGAGAGAGCTGAGCTGGAAGGCAAAGTTCTCGATTTACCGGTCAGTCTACATCATTGAGGCTCATTAGAAAAATCCTCACTTGAATTTGCGTACCAGCTTACTCCAGGCTTATTTGGCTCCATGAACAACGCTGAAGTGAAGTCAATCTTCATCCAAGAAAAGTATTTGCTAGGGAGCCTTATCCACCTCTATGCTACAGGCAGCCCCTGGTAATCGATGCTAGATAAATGAAAGTGTAAGACAAGCAGAGAGTTGCCTTCTTCTCCCAGACGAAGCAATAATTATTAATTCATGTCTGCAAGGACTAAAAAGGCATAATTCAATCAGGGGACGCCAGCTGATTGGTCAGAGCCACGTAGCAGGTAACGCTCGGCGTTTGCATGTGGATCAGCCCTCCAGCCTGATGGTTTTGTAGATTTTTTTAAAGCTGAAAATAACGACACAACTCAATAAATTTCATTATTTAGTTGTTTATGAACAATTAGGACAACATGCAGACGACTCCTAGCCTGGCAAGCGATCCTATACAGTTGCAGGAAAAAGTATGGGAACCCTTTGGAATGACATGGATTTCTGCATAAACTGGTCATGAAATGTGATCTAATCTTCAGCTAAATCACAACAGACAATCGCAGTCGGCTTAAACTGATGCCACACAAACAAGTCTGTTTCCATGTTTTTATTATTATTACTATTATTATTAACACACCATGTAAACATTCACAGTGCAGGTGGAAAGAGTATGTGAACCCTTGGATATAATAACTAGTTAAACCTTTGGCAGCACGCACACACACATGCACAAAAACACACACACACACACACACACATGCACAAAAAAACACACATGCACACATAAACAGTGTGAGTCTTCAGTCTGATTTGTGGTGGACGTCAGACCTCTGACAGCTGTGAAGCGTGACTTTGGACCCACTCGTAGAAGCTCTGAAGTGTTTTGAGTCAAAAATGAACGTCCTGTCCAGAGACACCTTTTCCCCTCTTCTTAATGTCCTAGAGATCAGCAGCACCTGTCCAGTCAGCAGGTAGACCAGCTGGGGGGTGTTTGCCTTAACCCCTGAGCTTGTCTCCAGCAATCAGATCTCCAGACCATGAAGTAATTACTCCCCCTCTTCTCCCCCTCTCTCTTTTTCCCTCCTCTTCTTAACAGAAATGGCACACAGTCCATCGGCTCCCACCCCTCCCCCACCCCCACCTCTGCCACCCAACTCAGTTGTGACCTCCACCCATGCCGGTCACCCCCCTCCTCCCCCACCCCCACCACTCCCTCCTGCACTGACTCCAGGTGGGACACCTCCTTCACCAGGTCCAGTTTCTCCACCCGGTGTGCCACACCCACCCCCAGCTCCTCCCCTTCCTGCTGGACTGTTCTCTCCTGCGGAGGACCGTCCCCCATCAGGCCTGGCAGCCGCCCTCGCTGGAGCCAAGCTGCGCAGAGTGCCACGGGTAAGTTGGTGGTCTACACACACACACACACACACACACACACACACACACACACACACACACACCTCTTTCTCTCGCTTTCTCTCCCTCTCCCATAAAGCTGCACCAGTCGGAGCATATGTCAGATGGGATTTCTTTCTCTTCTTTTGTTTCGTTACCGTGTCCTGTCCGGCTGTGAAGCAATCAGAACCGATGTCTGAATGCCGAAGACAAGCCTCGCAGTTTTATTCTCACAGGACCACTCCTGATACCAAAACTTTATTAGAAATATTTTCGTCGTCGTCGTCGTCGTCGTCGTCGTCGTCGTCGTCGTCGTCGTCGTCGTCGTCTTCCTCCGCTTATCCGGGTCCGGGTCGCGGGGGCAGCATCCCAACTAGGGAGCTCCAGGCCGTCCTCTCCCCGGCCTTGTCCACCAGCTCCTCCGGCAGGACCCCAAGGCGTTCCCGGACCAGATTGGAGATGTAACTTCTCCAACGTGTCCTGGGTCGACCCGGGGGCCTTCTGCCGGCAGGACATGCCCGAAACACCTCCCCGGGGAGGCGTCCAGGAGGCATCCTGACCAGATGCCCAAACCACCTCAACTGGCTCCTTTCGATCCGGAGAAGCAGCGGTTCTACTCCGAGTCCCTCCCGAATGTCCGAGCTCCTCACCCTATCTCTAAGGCTGAGCCCGGCCACCCTACGGAGGAAACTCATTTCGGCCGCTTGTATCCGCGATCTCGTTCTTTCGGTCATTACCCAAAGCTCATGACCATAGGTGAGGATTGGGACGTAGATCGACCGGTAAATCGAGAGCCTGGCTTTCTGGCTCAGCTCCCTCTTCCCCACGACAGATCGGCTCAGCGTCCGCATCACTGCAGACGCCGAACCAATCCGCCTGTCGATCTCCCGATCCCTCCTACCCTCACTCGTGAACAAGACCCCGAGATACTTAAACTCCTCCACTTGAGGTAGGACCTCTCCCCCGACCCGGAGGTGGCAAGCCACCCTTTTCCGGTCGAGAACCATGGTCTCAGATTTGGAGGTGCTGATCCTCATCCCAGCCGCTTCACATTCGGCCGCGAACCTACCCAGCAAGAGCTGAAGGTCAGAGCTGGATGAAGCTAGGAGGACCACATCATCCGCAAAAAGCAGAGACGAGATTCTCCTGCCACCAAACTCGACACACTCCACACCACGGCTGCGTCTAGAAATTCTGTCCATAAAAGTGATGAACAGAACCGGTGACAAAGGGCAGCCCTGGCGGAGTCCAACCCTCACTGGGAACAGGTCCGACTTACTACCGGCTATGCGGACCAAACTCACGCTCCTCTTGTAAAGGGACTGAATGGCCCTTAACAGAAAGCCACCCACCCCATACTCCTGGAGCGTCCCCCACAGGGTGCCCCTGGGGACACGGTCATAAGCCTTCTCCAAATCCACAAAGCACATGTGGATTGGTTGGGCAAACTCCCATGCCCCCTCCATCACCCTTGCAAGGGTATAGAGCTGGTCCACAGTTCCACGGCCAGGACGAAAACCACATTGCTCCTCCTCTATCTGAGATTCAACTATCGATCGGACCCTCCTCTCCAGTACCTTGGCGTAGACCTTTCCAGGGAGGCTGAGGAGTGTGATCCCCCTATAGTTGGAACACACCCTCAGGTCACCCTTCTTAAAGATGGGGACCACCACCCCGGTCTGCCACTCCCTAGGAACTGCCCCCGATGACCACGCAATGTTGTAGAGACGTGTCAACCATGACAGCCCTACAACATCCATAGCCTTGAGATACCCAGGACGAACCTCATCCGCCCCCGGGGCTCCGCCGCTGTGTAGTTGTTTGACTACCTCAGCAACTTCTGCCCCCGAGATCGGACAGTCCATCCCCAGGCCTCCCAGCTCTGGTTCCTCCTCGGAATGCGCATTGGTGGGATTGAGGAGCTCCTCAAAGTATTCCTTCCACCGTCCGACTATAGCCTCAGTTGACGTCAGCAGCTCCCCATCCCCACTGTAAACAGTGTGAGCGAGTTGCTGCCTTCCTCTCCTGAGGCGCCGGACAGTTTGCCAGAACCTCTTTGGAGCCGATCGATAGTCTTTCTCCATGGCCTCACCAAACTCCTCCCACGCCCGAGATTTTGCCTCGGCAACTGCCACTGCTGCACCCCGCTTGGCTATCCGGTACCTGTCTGCTGCCTCCGGAGACCCACAGACCAGCCACACCCTGTAGGCCTCCTTCTTCAGCCTGACGGCTCCCCGAACCTCTGGTGTCCACCAGCGGGTACGGGGGTTGCCACCACGACTGGCACCGGCCACCTTACGACCACAGCTAGCAACAGCCGCCTCGACAATCGCAGAGTGGAACAAGGCCCACTCGGACTCAATGTCCCCCACTGCTCTCGGGACGTGGTCAAAGCTCTGCCGGAGGTGGGAGTTGAAGACCGTCTTGACAGGTTCTTCTGCCAGGCGTTCCCAGCAGACCCTCACTATGCGTTTGGGTCTGCCAGGTCTACGCGGCATGTTCCCTTGCCATCTGATCCAACTCACCACCAGGTGGTGATCAGTTGACAGCTCCGCCCCTCTCTTCACTCGGGTGTCCAAAACATACGGCCGCAGGTCAGATGATACGACTACAAAATCTATCATCGACCTGTGACCTAGGCTGCCCTGGTACCAAGTGTACCGGTGGGCATCCTTATGTTCGAACATGGTGTTCGTTATGGCCAAACTGCGGCTTGCACAGAAGTCCAATAACAAAACACCGCTCGAGTTCTGATCAGGTGGGCCGTTCCTCCCAATCACACCCCTCCAGGTCAAGCTGTCATTGCCCACGTGAGCATTGAAGTCCCCCAGCAGGACAATGGAGTCCCCTGATGGAGCACTATCTAGCACTCGTCCCAGGGACTCCAAAAAGGGTGGGTACTCTGAACTGATATTTGGCCCATAAGCACAAACAACAGTCAGGACCCGTTCCCCGACCCGAAGGCGCAAGGAAGCTACCCTCTTGTCCCCCGGGGTAAACCCCAACACACAGGCAGAGAATCTCGGGGCTAACAAAAAGCCAACCCCAGCCCTCCGCCTCTCACCCGGAGCAACTCCAGCAAAGTAGAGTGTCCAACCCCTCTCCAGGTCTCGGGTTCCAGAGCCAATGCAATGTGTCGAGGTGAGTCCGACTATATCTAGCCGGTACCGCTCAACCTCTGCCACAAGCTCCGGCTCCTTCCCCACCAGCGAGGTGACGTTCCATGTCCCAAAAACTAGTTTTCTTGTCCGGGGATTGGACCGCCAAGGCTCCCGCCTTGGTCTGCCACCCGATTCACATTGCACCGGACCCTTCATGTTCCTTCTGCGGGTGGTGGGTCCACAGTTGGACGAGCCCATGTATCCGGTTCGGGCTGGGCCCGGCCGGGCCCCATGGGCGAAAGCCCGGCCACCAGGCGCTCGCTCACGGGCCCCAACCCCAGGCCTGGCTCCAGGGTGGGACCCCGGTAACCCTCCGGGCCGGGTACTCTGACTCTTCGTTTTCACCGCCATGAAAGATCCTTCGAACCGTTCTTTGTCTCACCCTTCACCTAAGACCAATTTGTCATGGGAGACCCTACCAGGGGCACTAAGTGCCCCAGACAACATAGCTCCTAGGATCATTAGGGCACTCAAACTCCTCCACCACGATAAGGTGACGGTTCAAGGAGGTTGTTTAAAATTCCAACGGACACAGAAGTGTAAGAGAAAGGAATGGGGGGGGGGGGGGGGGGGGGGGGTTCAGAATAAACAATAAATGATGAACAAGAATCTGCTTCTAGACATGCAGAAAGAGAGAGAGAGAAAAGGGGACACACAAAAATACAACAAGACCAAAGCATCATGGGAGTTGAAGTCTTTGCGGTAAAATCGGCCAGCGGGCCAGTTTTAATATATTTTTGATATTTATCTCGCGGGCCACATAAAAATGCTCCGCGGGCCTTGACTCTGACATATGTGCACTAGTTGAATGCAATAAAATAAGCACCTAATACCAACAGCCAGTGTGACCCCTCGGATCGATGGCTCTCCAAAAATCCACAAAACAGACACCCCACTGCTTCCCATAGTGGACAGCATCGGATCAGTCACCTACAACCTATCAGAAGCCCTGGTGGAGATCACCCAGTCCCTATTAGGACTACCAGAACATCACTGCAGCAATTCAAAACAACTGGCTGAAGAACTCAAATCAATGAAAACAGAACAAAATGACATCTTCATCTCACATGATGTCATTTCACTATTCACAAAAACACCCCTAGAGGTCACGCTACACATAGTACATGAACGCCTAAAAATGGACAGATCACTGAAGAACCGGACAAATCTCACAGTAGACAACATATCCACCCTGTTAGATTTTGCAGCAAAATCCACATATTTTCTGTACAAAAATAAAATATACAGACAAAAAAAGAAGGTTTTGCCATGGGAGACACGCTCTCAGCCATAATGAGCAGGTTCCTAATGGAGGATTTGGAAGAAAAGGCCATTAACATAGCACCGGCACACATCAGACCCCTGTTCTGGAGACGATACGTGGACGACATCTTGGAAATAATAAAAACTGGACACACACAACATTACTCGCAGACCACCTGAACACGGTCGACAACACGGGAAACATAAAATTCACACGTGAAGAGGAAACAAACAAGACAATAGCGCTTTTGGACATGAACATTCACCACACAGACGACGGCAGTTAAAAATCACAATATACAGAAAACCCACACATACAGACCAATATCTGCTTTGGACATCTGAACACCCCACGGCACACAAGCTATCAGTAGTCAGAACATTATACGACGGACCAGCTTCATTACAGAGGAAACAGACCGCAGACAGGAAGAACACATCAAACAAGCACTAACCCTCTGTCAGTATCCAGAATGGGCCGTAGAAAAAGGAAAACAAGTTAGAGACAATCAGAAAAACAGAGAGACCAAAAAAAGAAATCAAAACAAAGACCAGACCACACGCACACTGACACCATCACCATTCCACATATCTGGGGAGTCACAGAACGTATACAAAGGGCCATGAAAAAACAGCAAATCACCACAACCGTCAAACCTTGCATGAAACTCAGACAGCTACGAGTACACCCTGTCATGGATTTTATCTGTATGCTTATCAATAACCCCATTTCCTATAGCGAAGCGAGAAGGAGACGATGAGCAGACAAGTTAAACAGTTATAACTGTGGCAAATGCACGAGGCAAAATGCCCCGAACATCTGCTCACAGAGTTTATTTACACCAAGAGATAAGAAAGGAATGAAAGTGAGATCATGAGAGAGAGAGAGAGAGAGAGAGAGAGAGAGAGAGAGAGAGAGAGAGAGAGAGAGAGAGAGAGAGAGAGAGAGAGAGAGAGAGAGAGAGAGAGAGAGAGAGAGAGAGAGAGAGAGAGAGAGAGAGAGAGAGAGAGAGAGAGAGAGAGAGAGAGAGAGAGAGAGAGAGAGAGAGAGAGAGAGAGAGAGAGAGAGAGAGAGAGAGAGTGAGTATGTGTGTGAGTGGCTCGTGTGGGTGTGTCTGAATAAGTGAGCATGCAAAGAGGCACAGAGCAACACATATTACATTCAGTTGATAGAATCAATGATCCAGAATTAATAAACATAAAATTTCCATAACACACCCCAAGGACACAATTGAACCAGACAACAAATGCAATGTAATCTACGAAGTACCCCGCATGTCGTGTAATAAAACATACGTGGGGAAACCAACAGAACATATGACACAAGAAGAAAAGAGCACCAGAAGGAATGTGAGAAGGAAACAACAGAAAGACTCACAAAGACAACAAAGGAAAAAGCAGCTCGTCAAGTCAGCCATCTCAGATCATTGCAAACGAAATAATCACATCATGGACCGGGATCAAGGGAACATTATCAACACGGAGAACGACCGGTTCAAACGTTGGGTCAGGGAGGCAATAGAAATAAGGGAACATGAACGTCGGAACATGAACAGAGACGAGGGGGCCTATCAGCTGTCTCGCACCTGGGATTCCCTTCTCCAAAGACCAGCCAGCGGAGGTGGGCGCGACCGACCCAGCAGATCTGACAGATCCGGGTTGGTCGCGCCGACCAGAAAAACAGCTGATAAAGGCGCGTCACACAAACACCTGTGACACTTCTGAAGACCGCAGATGATGGTCGAAACATGTTAAAGGTAACTAGAAACACCTTCATGTCCAAAGCCAAAAGAACCTCGTTTAATATTTGAAAAGAGGACATAATGAAGGTTGTAAAGGAGATCCCTAAATACTTCCAGCCCCCGACACGTGGATTTATTTCTAAATTTCAGACTTTAAATAAACAATCGAATATTTTATTTCTCCACAGAGTGATGAAGCAGGAGCAGCTCTGGCAGCAGCCATGTCAGGGGCCAAACCTGAGGCCCGGGGGAACGGGCCCGTGCCTGGAGGAGGAGGGCTCATGGAGGAGATGAGTGCTTTACTAGCCAGAAGGTTGCCATTATTATTATTATTATTATTATTATTATTATTATTATTATCATCCATTCTGATTAGACTTTCCTGGTCTCCGTTTTAGTTGTGCGTATCTGGAATCAGTACTGGATCAGGGATCTTGTCTATGTCCTGAATCTGAACTTTGTTTCTTACAGAAGAAGGATTGCAGAGAAGGGCTCTTCTCCTGAACCTGACCAGAGATCAGTAAGTCCTTGTCCTGCCTGGTGTTTGTGTGAATCTAGATTCCCCATTGGAAGGTTTTAGCTGCAGTTGGAGCTGCAGCTCCCATATGTGTTGTGGTTTCCTCTTCAGAGTCTAGCTCGACATGGATATCTTGTTGTATCAGGGCCATATTAAACATATTCACATATCTGTCGGGTAAATGCTCCCACTAGGGGCAAACTACAGACACAAAAATAACAGCTAGTTGTTTTTCTGAGCCATTTTGGTTTCAGTTAGTCTGGTTCCCATAGAAACTGTGTTCTTGTTTTTTCTCAAATATGATTGTCACTCAGAGTTGCTCATGCATGCTGAATGTGACCCCATCACCTGCTTTAGCAGAAGGCAGGCAGGTGAAGTTAACATAACGTCTTTAATAAAAAACCAAACTAAACCTAAAAAGATCGTGATAAATGCTCACTCCATTGCCAACAAATGTCTCCCAATTCAGTGGTTCTCAACCTTTTTTAACTTATGTGCCCCCTGAGTCATTGTATCCTACAACGAGTACCCCCTGAGTCATTGTATTCTACCACGAGTACCCCCTGAATCATTGTATCCTACCACGAGTACCCCCTGAGTCATTGTGTCCTACCAGGAGTACCCCCTGAGTCATTGTATCCTACCACGAGTACCCCCTGAGTCATTGTATCCTACCACGAGTACCCCCTGAGTCATTTTATCCTACCACGAGTACCCCCTGAGTCATTGTATCCTACCACGAGTACCCCTTGAGTCATTTTATCCTACCACGAGTACCCCCTGAGTCATTGTATCCTACCACGAGTACCCCCTGAGTCATTTTATCCTACCACGAGTACCCCCTGAGTCATTGTATCCTACCAGGAGTACCCCCTGAGTCATTTTATCCTACCACGAGTACCCCCTGAGTCATTGTATCCTACCACGAGTACCCCCTGAGTCATTTTATCCTACCACGAGTACCCCCTGAGTCATTGTATCCTACCACGGGTACCCCCTGAGTCATTTTATCCTACCACGAGTACCCCCTGAGTCATTGTATCCTACCACGAGTACCCCCTGAGTCATTGTATCCAACCACGAGTATCCCCTGAGTCATTTTATCCTACCACGAGTACCCCCTGAGTCATTGTATCCTACCACGGGTACCCCCTGAGTCATTTTATCCTACCACGAGTACCCCCTGAGTCATTGTATCCTACCAGGAGTACCCCCTGAGTCATTTTATCCTACCACGAGTACCCCCTGAGTCATTGTATCCAACCACGAGTATCCCCTGAGTCATTTTATCCTACCACGAGTACCCCCTGAGTCACTGTATCCTACCACGAGTACCCTCTGAGTCACTGTATCCTAGTACAAGTACCCTCTGAGTCATTGTATCCTACCACGAGTACCCTCTGAGTCACTGTATCTTAGTACAAGTACCCTCTGAGTCATTGTATCCTACCACAAGTACTCCGAGTCATTGTATCCTACCACAAGTACTCCCTGAGTCATTGTATCCTACCATGAGTACCCCCTGAGTCACTGTATCCTACCACGAGTACCCTCTGAGTCACAGTATCCTACCACAAGTACTCCGAGTCATTGTATCCTACCACGAGTACTCCCTGAGTCATTGTGTCCTACCACAAGTACCCCCTGAGTAATTTTGTCCTACCACAAGTATCCCCTGAGTCATTGTATCCTACCACGAGTACCCCCTGAGTGATTTTATCCTACCACAATTACTCCCTGAGTCATTGTATCCTACCACAAGTACCCCCTGAGTCATTGTATCCTACCACGAGTATCCCCTGAGTCATTGTATCCTACCACAAGTACCCCCTGAGTAATTTTGTCCTACCACGATTACCCCCTGAGTCATTGAATCCTACCATGAAGCAGAAGAAGAAGAAAATATAATTTCTATGGCGCCTCTCAAGATAAAAATCACGAGGAGCGTCACAAAAACAAAAAATGTAAAAATATAAAAAAGAATTAAGAAAATGTTTAAAAAATATATTTAAAATGAGCAAAAAAAATAGGCTATTGTGATTAAAAATGTTAAGAAAGAGAGAGAGTGAACAGGAAAGAGGGAAATCAGTGGATCCTGAGGAAGGTGGAATAGGTGGGGAGAGCAGAATAAAGAGAGAGAGGTGAAGAAGGTCATACAAAAGCCAGCTTGAACAAGTGAGTCTTCAGCTGCTTTTTAAAGGAGACCACTGAGTCCACTGATCTCAGGCTCAGGGGGAGAGAGGTCCAGAGTCTGGGGGCCACAGCAGCAGATGATCTGTCACCTTTGACCTTTAGCCTGGTGCTGCACAACCAGTAGGCTTTGATCACTGGACCTCAGGGACCTGCTGGGGGTGTAGGGTTAGGGTGTGTGTGTGTGTGTGTGTGTGTGTGTGTGTGTGTGTGTGTGTGTGTGTGTGTGTGTGTGTGTGTGTGTGTGTGTGTGTGTGTGTGTGTGTGTGTGTGTGTGTGTGTGTGTGTGTGATTTTAGGACATTCAGTTAATAGATTTGTTAACAGGACTAAAGTATGAAATATCACATTTCCATAACATGATGTTAGATGATGAACTAAAAAATGAACTACCGGTAGTTTGTATTAAAATGTATGAACTGAACTTGAACTAGTTTGTTTTTAAAACAAACTTTCCCAACACTGTCTAAAGGTAGTTTTCCAGGAACGCTACTCAGAGCAACTCGGACCGGTGCAGCTCAACCCAACCACAGTTTCCACGGGCATGGTTCGGTGTTTTCCCTCTGCTTCCTCCCCTATGTTTGGTCCCTGCTCCAGGTACCTAACAAGGCTGAGTCGGGCCGCATCGTGACTCTGGCTGCTGATTGGTTAGGGGATGGAGTCACCGGTTGCGCCAGAGTTTTCTGCCTTCTGATTCGCTGCCTGCAGCCATTTCCTGGTTCAGAGTCTGACAAAAAGCCATCAAACTGAGAAGAATGCCTAGCAACACCACCAGTAGTTTTGTGCTGAGTTGTTTCTGTTGAGCATGCAGGTCCACTTACCGTGTTTACAGAACACCTCCTGCTATTTTAAATCATGAGGACCCACCCCCCGCGAGTGCCGCGGGATCCCCCATTTCCTCCCCCGCACCTATGAGGGGCACGAAACATTACTCCACTCAGACGGGCTGACCCAAACCACGCTGTACAGAGCTGTCTCAGGCTGAGTTATGCTCACGGAAAACTAGCTAATGAGCCCCTCATTCCTCCAGACAGGATCTTAAAGATTTTACATTTAGATCATCTTTCATGAATTCTGAACCATTCCCATTTTCTTGCTTGTGGTGAGGAGACCAACTGTCGTTTGTCCTTTGACCCCTGTGTTTGTCTACCCAACAGGAGGAGAGTGACATGAACACAACCCCCAAAGTGTCAGCTTGTAGCACACCAGGTGAGGAAGAGAAAGCTGCTCTGTGCTGTCCGTCTCCCGCTTCCTGTCTAAATGTGTCTTTGGAAAACTAAAACATTTGTTCCACACAGTGGGATGACCTTCTTTGTCCACCAGGAGGTTGGGACATTGGTACACCTTCATTCCTAAGGCCATGCTTGGACTATTACCCACCTACATCTGTAGCTTCACTTCATGGAGAATTGAAACCTCTCACGGTGTGCGTGCAGACGATCAGCTGTTACTTTGTGTTCCGTTTGCTCGCACCGAACTGGGCAAAAGGGCTTTTGTTCATTCTATTCCTTCTTCATGAAACAGGCTGCAGGAAAACAGGAAATTAATCGAGCTTATCTCCTTTAATACATTTAAAACCAGATTGAGATGTTCCCTGTGTCGTAACTGCCTCCTATAATTTTGTAGGTAACTAACTGTGTAACTGACAAATGTTATGAAATGAGATGTTCGATATTATCGATCTGTCAATATTATCGGCCCAAATTGGCCTTAAAATGTAATATCGGAAAATACTGGAATCGGTTTTTCCTCCTTCAGTGACCCAACATTTACATAACACGCACATATTATACACCAAGCACTTCGGCTTCGCCTCCTCTCTCTCAAACTTTCAAAATATGACAGATCTGAGGTTTAGTTTTTGAGATATTTTAGTTTTATATGGCATTACTTGTGAATAATTAAGATTTTGCCCTGTATAGAGGATCAGCTGTACTTAAAGCACGTAGCTATGTGTAGCTAGCTAGCTAGCTAGCAACAAAAACAAACACAAGAATTTTCACGAAAGGCTTGCTTTTCTTGAAAGATGTTTTATCACAGTAACTCCAATAAACAGAAACAGAGAAAATACATTACTAATACGGACATCTTAGCGTTGCACTTAGCAAATAGCCTGGCTTAGCGATAAGCGTAGCTTAGCAATAAGCGTAGCTTAGCATGTACGCTCACTTTGCTTACATTTTATCAGCCGAGTCACTTTAACGCATGTTTAAACATTCTCTAAACGAACTGATAGTCACAAAGACAAACGTTCTCCAAGGCACCAACGTATAAAGTCAAATCAGTGTGTTCACGATGGGTTTACTCTCATGTTTTTGCCTAAATGTAAGATCTGAACACGTGGAGCCGAGGTCCAGCGGATAAAACGGAACAACGTCAGCGATCCTCTCAGGGAGAACGTCGTTCAGCTGCTGTTGGAGACAAGTTAAACACATGGGTATTGGTTTGTACTGGTATCAGAAATTAAGAGTTAGACAATATCAGATATCGGTAAGGCATCCCTGCTTATGAATGTATCTTTTGATTAGCTAGGACTGCCTTGAAAATGAAGTTTTTAATCTCAAAGGGACCTTCCTGCTTAAATAAAGAATAAATAAAAATAAAATAAAATAAAATACAAATGTGAAGTCAGGCAACGGGTCAGAAGCCATGTATTCGACTGGAGCACAGCATAAGTGTTCATGGCTGGTCTGTCTACACACACACACACACACACACACACACACACACACACACACACACACACACACACACACACACACAGGTCTCTTGAGATGAAGCTCCAGACTCCACTAACAGCCGTTTGGAGTCTAAGAAGCTAACAAAGCTAACCGCCTTTAACCACTTTCAGGGCTAACTTGAGTCGTGTTCTCCGTGAAGGTGGTGGAGCTCATCACCAGAGGCTGGAGCACCATGATAGTGCACGGTCTACTCCAGCTTTCCTTGATTTCATTCTGCTGTCGTTTGCAGACATGCCCAGGAAGCCATGGGAAAGATCAAGCACCATGAACGGCAGCAAGTCTCCTGTTATCGGAAGGTAACGTGTTTTCCTGTAAAACTTTTCAGTCTTAGAAACTGGAAACAGTGTCATCGGGATCGGGTCAAGCGTCACACACGTTTGTGCTTCGGTCTGGCTAAATGGGGAGAAGCAGTTTTCCCGTCCTGGTGTGTGAAACATGGATCTTCCTGATTTGATCAGATTAAGAAGGAGCCGACAGAAACATGGTGGATCTTAAGGTTCATCAACACCTTAAGAAGGTGTCGGGGTTTTCTCCAGGTCCTTTATTTTTTCCTCATGGACCACTAGCATGAATCTGAGTTAACTGGTGATTCGAGGTGTACTAGCTATCTGTCCAGATGTAGCCCCTCCTCTAGCCATGCAGCGTGGTCCAGCTGCTCAGATGTTCTCCATGTTCAGCAGCACCAACCTCTGTGAGCACCTGTTGTTTATGATGAAGATGAACAGAACAGCACAGCTCCTTCCTCAGCTCAGAGCCCAACCCCACAGGTGCCGGTGTCTGGCTGGAACAGGTGAGCATCGCAGTAAATCAGAGTGGAGCAAACTCCGCTTCCATTATTCTGGCCGTTATGCACTTTTTCTGCTCCAAAGCATGAAAGCACATGAGATATTACATCTTGAGTTTGACGGCCCTGCTGCAGAAGCTGAAGTAGGTGCCAGGGGGGTCCAACAGGAACGCCTCATGGATCTGGTTTAAATACTGCTGCGTCTGAGTGGTCCTGAGGTGGAAGCGCGGCCTTTCCCTGCGTAGCTTCTCCAAGCTCTTCGTGGTCCAGGTGACTGATGAGTCCGTTTACTGTGATGGAGCTTGAACGTTTATTGTCTTGAACATGGAAACATGTGAGGACCCTCCCTATCACACATAGACCCGAGTCCACCCAGTTCAGAGCCCACATGGCCCAGTTTTATCTGAGTAGAGCCAGAGCAGACCCCGCAGGCCTGCTCTGATAACGCTGTGTGTGTGTGTGTGTGAGTGTGTGTGCGTGTGCGCGCGCGTATGTGTGCAAATGTGTGTGTGTGAGCCTGTGCGCACACGCGCGTGTGTGTGTGAGTGTGTATGTGTGTGTGTGCACATGTGTGTGTGAGCGTGTGTGTGTGCGTGTGTGTGTGCGTGCGCGCACGTGTGTGTGTGTGCGCGCACGTGTGTGTGTGTGAGCGTGTGTGTGTGTGTGTGTGTGAGCGTGTGTGTGTGTGTGTGCGCACGCGTGTGTGTGTGTGAGCGTGTGTGTGTGTGTGTGTGTGTGTGTGTCCTGGAACTTTTGTGTTTCCAGGAAAAGTGTGTTCACTCACCAGGAGAGAGACCTGACCGGCTCCCCAGCCCTTAAAACACAGATCCTTCACAGTTAATGAGTATTTCTGTCTCTGTGCGTGTGTGTGCGTGTGTGTGTGTGTGTGTGTGTGTGTGTGTGTGTCTCCTTGAGTAGACTGAAGTCCATCCCCACACCTACCGCCTCCCCAAGTGCCAACGGCATACCCACAGAAGCTGTGGACTACGACAGACTCAAACAGGTAAACCACCGTCCGTTAGCATCTCTGACTCGGGGATGTGTGCAGAACCGGCTCAGCTTTTGTTTGTGAGGAACGGTTCCTCGTGTGCTCCCAGGTCAGTCTTTGGTTCTGTTTAGCAGCTGGTGAGGCAACCTCCTTTTACCATCAGCAGAGCCTAATGCCAGTCTCCGCTAGCAGAGCCTAATGCCAGTCTCCGCTAGCAGAGCCTAACGCCAGTCTCCGCTAGCAGAGCCTAACGCCAGTCTCCGCTAGCAGAGCCTAACGCCAGTCTCCGCTAGCAGAGCCTAATGCCAGTCTCCGCTAGCAGAGCCTAATGCCAGTCTCCGCTAGCAGAGCCTAATGCCAGTCTCCGCTAGCAGAGCCTAATGCCAGTCTCCGCTAGCAGAGCCTAACGCCAGTCTCCGCTAGCAGAGCCTAACGCCAGTCTCCGCTAGCAGACCCTAGCTAAAGCCATCCTGCGTTGGTTCAGGACCAGTCGTGTGTCTGCAGACTTGTAACTGTGGCTTTTGTTTTAGGAAATCCTGGATGAAATGAGGAAAGAGCTGTCGAAGCTAAAAGAAGAGCTTATTGATGGTAACTATGGAAACAGCTCCCCACATCCTGTCTAACACACGTGCTTTCCTGTTTGTTCTCTATTTTAATCGTGTTTATATTTCAAATCTCTAAATGCTACTTGTAAACAGACGTGACATCACACACACGCTGGTGTCAGAGGAGTGTGTTTCAGTGATCGTGGAGGTGAAAAATGTTTGCTCTCACCCAGCTAGCGTTGGTGCTACTTCCTGTCCATGCTCACTGATTCCCTGCTGTGTTGTGCTTCTGTAGACCGAACCTTCTGAGTGATGCTGACATCTCACAGCCTGTAATCCTGCAGGTCCTAGACCATGTTCTAGAGCACATGGATCAGGAACACTGTTTAGGCAGGATCTCAGATCAGTGACATAAGTCTCTCTATCTTCTGTTCTTTCAGCAATCCGGGAGGAGTTGGGCAAGTCCAGCACTGCATAGAAGACCCAGAGCATCAGAACATCACCCTCCACATGGCCAGTCTGACACCAGCGGGCCAGTAAAGATGAAACCATTACACCACAGCTGGAAACAACAGTCAGAGAGAACCACTGCCCTCCTCTGCCTCCTGGAGGACAGTCTGCCAGAGAAGCAAAAGACTTTATGCAAACAGGAAGTCCGCTGGTCCCCCCCCCCCCGTAACGATGAAGACACGCAAAAATGATTCGGACTCCCGAGTGGTCCTGGTTTCATCTGAACAAAGCCGAACTCTCCTGTGACACGTTTTTAAGGAATGATCAGAGACCGGAGACAGCGCGTGTGTGTGTGTGTGCGTGCGTGTGTGTGTGTGCGTGCGTGCGTGTGTGTGTGTGTGTGATGGACACAGTCTTTGCTGTAGTCCACCTCTGCAGGACACTAAAGCTCGTCTTCCTGTTGTAACCTAAGCCTGTACAGACAGAACCTGTCAGCCATGGGTTTTGTGGAGCGTGGATCGACGGCACAGCGACACCAAGTAGCCCAGAGCATCCGGTGCCATCAGAGCGCCTGGTCCGCAGTCAGACGGGCTGCTGTCTCCATCCACTCACAGCTGGGCGTCCGGTTAGGACCTCCTCTCGGTCCAGTTGGAAGTCCTCCTCCTCCTCCTCCTCCTGGGTCTTGTTTTGGTGCTCGTGTGAGAGCACGTGAGGCTTTCCCTTTTTACGCCCGCAGAAGGACTCGAATCAGCCACGAAACCACATGAAGTTTAATTATTAGCAATAACTGTAGCATCGCTCCACCTGTCCCATCTGAAGTCCCCGTCCATCTGGACTGAGCACAGATATGAACAGAGACTCTGAAATTAACTAAAATATTCTTCATTTGTGTCAAATACCGGGAGGACATGCCTTCAGCCCCACTTTGACTCATCATCAGCGGTTGCTCTAACACTGATAAATATTGTGCAAGGTGCAGGAGAAAGCCCAGGTGTGTAGCAGGTGGAGTCCAGGCTCTGACCTGAATGTGCCATCCACTCTGTCCCCAGGCCTGTCAGGACGAGTCGTGTCTTTCTGCTCTGCTTCCTCCTTCTGATGCTCTCAGATTCATCACATGACCAACTGTAGCCCAAAGCCATCCCTTCAGCGTCGTGTCTGAGCCGGTCTCACCAAGTCCAGTCTGCTGGAGACCTAACCTCTGAACCTACAGCTCCACCTAGTCCAGAGTCCAGGTGTCAGAGCTCCTGTTCTTAGAGCTAATTGATAGGTAATTTTGCATTTATCCCATATTACCTTAAAGGACAACACACAGAGAGAGAGAGTGGATTATTCGTAATGTCCATGAATCGTCATGCGAGAGCTGGGCGCAGAAACCCCCTCCATGGAGCTAACCAGGCCCCCTCTGCTGCTGGGGAAAGCCTTCAGCTCACCAGCTCTGCATGCCCGCATTCTCCACCAAAATGTTAGGTAATATTTAATCTCCATAACCCGGGAACCTGAAATAAACACTCATGACAACAAGGAGACATTTTACCCTGAGTCCCCAAAATGATGGAGAGTTAACGCAGGGGAACCTCCTCCGAGGCTGTCCCCACGTCACTCCCCTGTATTCTCAGTTAGCCAGGGGTTTTATTTAGCAAAGGATGGAGAAGGCGGGGCCTTCTCAGGTTACAGAGGTACAGAGGTTTCCTTGGAAATCTACAATCAACATCCTGGAAATCCACAATCAACATCCTTGACTGCAAACGAGCTTCTCTGCTCAACCTTTCAGGAACAGCCACCGTTGGCAAACACAGAGATTCATGAAGTGTTAATAACACAAATCGGGCGTCTTTTAGGCCTCAAGAAGGTACAATTATAAAAATACCCAACACTAATCATTTTCAGGGTCACAGTGGAGGATCCTTGAGACCCTCTGAGACCAGGACCTGAACCAGCTCAAGGTGTTTCCTCTGAAAACTGAATGGAGGCCCCCCAGCCCTCAAAGGGCATAGTCGGTACCGTCAGTTCTGCTCATCATTCTGGACTGGCTCTTCACATCTCCTATCACAAAGAGATAGCGGCGTATCAGAGCTAAAGACCCGGTCTCGGCTACGTGTGTCTGAGCCTGTAGGTCTTCATTAGGTCATGATCTCATTCCGTGTTCAAGGGCTTTCTCTCATCATGTTGCTCCAGTCCGTCAAACACCAGGTTCTGTTCCCCTTCAGACAGAACCACGCACAGGCATCTCTGGTTTCAGACTGGGTTTGTGTGGACAGATGCCATAATCTATGTTTCTAACCCCAACAGAAGTACCAGCCAGACGCTGTGTCTTCTCCGACATGACTGCACTTTAAGACAGAAACTCGCAGAGCAATCCAGCATCGTGCCTGTCACGGGCAGCATGGCTCCATCACCAAAGGATTCAAGCCAGCAGCCTCCCGTCGAGCGTCATCACTAGCAAAGTCTCCTCTTTTACTTCTGTCAGGAGATATGGAAACAGGTGTGGTGGGCGGCAGGTGAGGGGTTCTCTGTGTGAAGCCAGGTAGTTTGTGCCTTGTTCCCAACATGCATTTAACACGTGCTATCAGAGTAATAACACTTTGTTGTCATATGCAGGTTTTAATTTGTCTTCATTTTTTATCGCCGTCGTGTGGTTTTAAAGACTTTTAGTACCGTTTATAAACATGTTTTTATTTGAATGTAGGGGACATCTCTGATTGGTGGAGCTGTTTCAGCTCACAGGTTCGATCCAGCTGAGGTCATCCTTCTTTTCTATTTGGAAGTCCAAGTGGGTGCAGTGTTTTAGATGTAAAACAGACTGTTTGTGTTCAGCAGCTTAGTTTTATTTTTAATCCAGAGTCAATCTAGTTTTGTCTGTGAAAGTTGGTTCTGCTACGCCTCATCAAGATGGTGGGAACCCCTCCATACAGCCAGGTGCGTGCTGATGGATGGGGGGTGCCTCTTACATAGCAGTTAGTTGGGTTTTTAGTCATCTGCATTGTACCATACTGGTCTTGTGTTAATGTCTTTTCTTACACGCTAGCATACTGAGCAAATACAATAAAAGTTGCAATACAAGATGTGTTTGTTTTATATAAATGACCCTGGATGTAAATAATCATTACATTTTTATTTTTCACATGAAACTGGAGAGCTTGTGCAGCTTCACAGAAACAGCCCGAGCTGCAGACAGGAAACAGGGAGACGCTGCGGTTTGATTTTACAGCAGCTCTCTTTTCAAACATAAACAAGACACTGTCCTCTACTCAGCATCTGGACCAGAGAGGAGGGTTGGGTCTGGTGAGAGACAAGTACGATGGAACTTGGAATAGAACTTAAAAATCATAAACATTTAATAACCCAGTCGGAGAAAAGGAAGGAATAACTAGCAGGAAGTATAGAAAGATCGTTTTGCTGAAGCTGAAGACGCTGCAGGCAGAAACAACCATTTTGTTAAACTAATATGAGTCCAGTAAACAAAGGTGGTCGTGAGTCTCCAAGTCCAAACCAATCCTGACTCTTTTAAAATCCACCAGTAGCCAATCAGAGCTCAGAGCCGTTTGAAATGAACGCTGATCCAACCAATCAGAAGGCTTCGCGCCTTCCTGGTCACTGGTGAGTTCGCCCAGAGAGGGAGGGAGAACCGAGTTGTATATCAAACGTTAGCAAAGTTCTTTTTAAAAATATAGAACTCTTAATTTATTATTTCATCGTCCTGTGAATGATTGTTCATCGCTTTATCTCTGGACATATTGGCGCAAAACCAGGTAAGTGCGACCACGTCTACTGTATTAGCGTTGTTACCAAACAGCAAGTTGTTCAACTCTTTGTTGAAAGGTTAGCTGATGCTAACCTGACGGCGGCCAGGGCTCGGGCTAATTCCTGGACTCGCAACAGATTTTCTTATCAGAAATAGAAGTGATAATATAATAACGACGGTTTATGTGTGTGTTAAAAACTTCGTTAAATTGATTATGTTTTTAAAAGTCAACCAAGCGCACTTTCACGTTAGCGACACTGAACGGGCCATTTGCCCACTATGAGGTTAACGTACGCATCTGTACAGTGTGCATTAAATAGACGGTGCGCGTACACACCTCTTAAGACTGTTAAAACGTATAGTAATAAGAAACAAGAGGGTTTGGTAGTAACCTGCGCTCAGCGCGCGGGTAATCCGCATACGGAAGCGTTTAGGAGCCGGTGTCGCTGGAGTTGGGAGTTTCAGACAGGATTTGAACACATGACGTTTTCCCTCCTTTCATTTGTGTTGCTTGTGGCAGCGTCAGGTTCCTTCAAAGGCCACTTGGCTAACGGAGAGCGCATCCCGTTAAAGACACAGCTCCCGGGTACCGTTAGGTTTTATTGTGATGCGTCAGGTTCCTGTTCAGCATGGAGGGAGTGCTGGTGTAGTGGTGCGGGCTGTTTCATATGGCGTTTAAAGCGTGCCACAACCCGTGCACGCGCATTGGGTCCACAGCGCGCGTGTGAACGGGACTCGCGAGCGGAAATATACATGGCGAGAGGTCATTTGTGCACTGAGAGGGAGCTAACTGTGTCTGTGAGCGCACAAGGATGTGCACAAGTGACAAACCTGCGTGCGCGCGTGGTCAACGAGCACACGGCAGAGGAAAACGTGCGCGCGCGGCAGCCTCTGTGCGCGCTCGGCAGCCTCTCTGCGCGCTCGGTTTCTGACTCCTGCTCGCTCGGCTGTAAGGGTTTTGGCACTCTGGAGGCGTGGCCTGTGGCAGATCTTCTCTGTCCTCTGATTGGTTAGTGTACCCCGCACTTTACCCTCTACCTATCTATATAAAAAAGTCTGCTAGTCAAGTAGTCGCTGGCATAGCTCAGTTGGAAGAGCGGGTGACTCTCGCCCCGGAGGATCCAGGTTCGAGGCCGGGCAAGTTAAATGCAGTAGATGTCATGTTAATTTTTCTTAATTTCAGGTATTTTACAGTTGTGACCGTTCAACTATCATTAAACGTCCGAATGTTTGCTGGGCAGTGTTTTAAAAAGTGCACATAAGCTAGATGGTTTTAACCATATAAAATTACATTTTTTGTGATACTGGAAAAATACATACTGAAATAAAACTACTGATTGAAAACTTTATGACTGTGGTTGTACAATATATGACTCACTAATACACTGCAAACTCCCTTAGAGTGGGGCTTCCAGAGAGAGAGAGAGAGAGAGACAGAGAGAGAGACAGAGAGAGAAAAGTTCTTGCCTCATTAATGAATTGTTTATTTTTTTCAGTATTTAATTGACAAATTATCCTTTCAAATAATTAATTGATGAGTTACATAATTGTCCATTTAGAATTGTTGAATGGACTGAGTCAAGTTTGGTGCACTTTATATATTTCAAAACATGTTTTTTTTTATTTTAATGATGCATATAAATAATTTAAATGTTAATTTAATGAAATATTTCTATTTTTTCATTACCTCACCCTTGTTTTGACAAAAACGGGACCTTGCTGGATAATATCATGGAGAAACTATTTGTTCACAGTACATGGCTCAGTGAGGATCTGTGTAAAGGAGGAGATACTCAGAAATCTGTCTGCAGATTGTTACAACCCAGACTGGAAGTGGCGGGCTGTAATAAGAAAGGAGACCAAACAGGAGTGGGGGGTTCAACAACTGATTTATTTAACAAAAGTAAGGATTTACTAAAGCAAGTTAGTGAACAGAAAATGGCCATCTCAAGGTTTTACTCGGATGTCCCTCAGCAGGGTGCAGCACTGTTGAAGGTCATCTGAATGAAAGCTTGATATGCAGTTTCTTTATGAATGTGTGTAAATATACAGTGTGGTTGCCGTACATATGTTGAGGTTCTCAGACATCAGGCTTCTTTGCCCAGGCCTTCACTAGTGGGCTATTTTAAAAGTTGGTAAGGAGAAAAACCACAGCATATAGCTGATTGTTTACAAATGCAAGGAGGGGAATAACAATCAAAATGCTTGTGTTCTTGGACCAGATGAATGGAGCGCTCCACATGCACTCAGAGATGTTATGGCTTCTGTTTCTATAACTTTACATGCAGACATTTGAGGTTTGCCAGAAAGGAAAGCTGGCCTGTACACTTTGCAGGGCACAATGTCATCAATGCAGAAACCCCTGTCTACCAAGATGACCATCTCTAGTTGTAGCATTTTCAACACACCAGATTCCCAGGTTGGTCGCTGATAGTTCCAGCATACAGTGCTGAGACAAAGGTCACTGGCCTATGTGGCACAATCCAAATGAGCCTCTTCAGAGTGCAGTTGAACTTGAGGAAAATATATGACTCTGGAAGAGAGGGGAATATGGCCATTGACACCTCAGATCAGTGCAGTCAAGATTTACTGGTGTTTGGGTAGTCCTGAACGTGTTGTGATGCCCCCACCATCTCATTGGGTTTTCATTTGTGTTTAATTGTGTTTTTCTTCTGTTGTAGGCAGCTGGTTAAGCAGCCTTGGAGGCACCTGGGCTCAGGGTGTGGTGCTGCCTACAAAGCCTACTGTTTTTCTGCTTTCACTGGGTCTCTCCTGTGTGGTGGAGAGTCCTCACTGGCCATTTTCTGTTCACTAACTTGCTTTAGTAAATCCTTACTTTTGTTAAATAAATCAGTTGTTGAACCCCCACTCCTCTGTTTGGTCTCCTTTCTTATTACAGCCCACCACTTCCAGTCTGGGTTGTAACAATCTGCAGACAGATTTCTGAGTATCTCCTCCTTCGGTACACAGATCCTCACTGAGCCATGTACTGTGAACAAATAGTTTCTCCATGATATTATCCAGCAAGGTCCCGTTTTTGTCAAAACAAGGGTGAGGTAATGAAAAAATAGAAATATTTCATTAAATTAACATTTAAATTATTTATATGCATCATTAAAATAAAAAAAAACATGTTTTGAAATATATAAAGTGCACCAAACTTGACTCAGTCCATTCAACAATTCTAAATGGACAATTATGTAACTCATCAATTAATTATTTGAAAGGATAATTTGTCAATTAAATACTGAAAAAAATAAACAATTCATTAATGAGGCAAGAACTTTTCTCTCTCTGTCTCTCTCTCTGTCTCTCTCTCTCTCTCTCTCTCTCTGTCTCTCTCTCTCTCTCTCTCTCTCTCTCTCTCTCTGGAAGCCCCACTCTAAGGGAGTTTGCAGTGTATTAGTGAGTCATATATTGTACAACCACAGTCATAAAGTTTTCAATCAGTAGTTTTATTTCAGTATGTATTTTTCCAGTATCACAAAAAATGTAATTTTATATGGTTAAAACCATCTAGCTTATGTGCACTTTTTAAAACACTGCCCAGCAAACATTCGGACGTTTAATGACAGTTGAACGGTCACAACTGTAAAATACCTGAAATTAAGAAAAATTAACATGACATCTACTGCATTTTCCTTGCCCGGCCTCGAACCTGGATCCTCCGGGGCGAGAGTCACCCGCTCTTCCAACTGAGCTATGCCAGCGACTACTTGGCTAGCAGACTTTTTTATATAGATAGGTAGAGGGTAAAGTGCGGGGTACACTAACCAATCAGAGGACAGAGAAGATCTGCCACAGGCCACGCCTCCAGAGTGCCAAAACCCTTACAGCCGAGCGAGCAGGAGTCAGAAACCGAGCGCGCAGAGAGGCTGCCGAGCGCGCACAGAGGCTGCCGCGCGCGCACGTTTTCCTCTGCCGTGTGCTCGTTGACCACGCGCGCACGCAGGTTTGTCACTTGTGCACATCCTTGTGCGCTCACAGACACAGTTTGCTCCCTCTCAGTGCACAAATGACCTCTCGCCATGTATATTTCCGCTCGCGAGTCCCGTTCACACGCGCGCTGCCATGTATATTTTCGCTCGCGAGTCCCGTTCACACGCGCGCTGTGGACCCAATGCGCGTGCACGGGTTTTGACAGGGGTATGACGCGATAGTTTCAGCTCACTGAAACTACTCAGCACGTCGTTTGGTCCGTCGCTGAGCGCGGGTTTGATGACACATTAAAAGATGGAGCTGTGTGCGGCGGTAAAGTGGCAAAGCTGCGAGGCGCAACGCGTTCGCAGATTTGCCACTTTTCTTTTCAAAATAAAAGCCCATCTCAGAAACGTATTTTGTGACAAATTATTCTAAATAAAAACAGGAAATACTTATGGAATTCCGAAGTTACCAAATCGTAGTTATATCGCCATTTTAACAAGGGATGGACTATGTATTGGCATCAATATCGGTATCGGCCGATGTTAGTCATTTTTTTAACATCAGTATCGGTCTGATAAATAAAACCAGCCTGATATTAACAACCGATATTTTTCCCATCTTGTCTCAATTTGTTTACCTGTTTCAGAGGGTGAGGGGGTGATGTGTATTTGTTTAGTCATGTGACAGTGATTGTAATCATCTCAGAAGCATAAATGTGTGTGGGATGTGTACATAATATAAATTCAGCTTTAATGGTTTTCATTCTATACAAAATATGCTGATTTTAGAAGCATTAATGTCAGCGTATCGGTATTGTCAAATATCGGTTATCTGCCCTAACAGTGATCTTAATATCGGTATCGGCCCAAAATTTCATATCGGTGCATCACTAATTTTAAAGGGACTCCAATGGGCCATTCCCATCTGTACCGGGTCGGCCCGGGCCGGGTAGCGTAGGTTGTTTACATATCTGGGTGGCCTGGTATTTTTCCGGGCCAACCAAGGCTCATTCTCAGCCCTCTTCTCGAGGGGGTCTGCTTCAGGCCGACCAGGGCCAACACACCCACTGCTGACAGCAAATTCACACCTTCCATTAGAGCAGGCCTCTGATTGGTGGGTAGAATCAGCCCACATGGGCTTAAGGCAAGGATGTGTGGAATCAACCGGGCCAGGCTGGGGCCGACTGGGGCTACCCGGCCCGGGCCGACCCGGTACAGATGGGAATGGCCCATAAGAAAGTTTGAAGTTTTTATGCTCGCAGTCGCCACCCAATTACCCAATCCTATTACACACACACACACATAGCAGAGGTGGCTGGGAAACAGTAGGCATGAGCAAAAGCACTCGTAGAAAATTCTCGCCTGACGTGAACAGAGCAGTGGGCAGCACGCGAATTTCGTGAATGATCCACTTCGCGACACACAGCTGATGTGATCCTGGCATCATGCCATTACTGAGTTGTAGTCTTTTTAATTAGCAATTTTACACGTAAATAAATCTCAAATTATGTGACAGATGTAGTCGAAACACTTCATTTAAATTGAAGTACAACGCGTGTGATTGAGGGCGTAAAGGTAAGAAGACCAGAACCTTGTTCAGGGACCCACGAGCCGACCGGAAGGGGAGTAGACTCGGGTTCCTTATTAGAGACCGCTGCAAATGTCTAGGTCAGGGGTGTCAAAAATGCGGCCCGCGGGCCAAATCCGGCCCGCAAGCAGGTTAAATCCGGCCCGCGAGATGGTTGTGTAAACTTTATTTTGATACTTTACAATGTAGAGTGAAAATGAACTTATCAGTGTGAGCAAGTTTTCTCTGTAACGAGTATAAATAAAACAAAGCTGCGCTCAAGGCTCACACAAGAACTTGAATCCCATCCTGAAGTTGGCCGCCACTCAGGATGTGACTTCTGATGTTGATGTGCTGGTGAAAGCTAAAAGATGTAAAGTAAAATGAGTCAAATATACTTTAAGTGCTGCATGAAACTGATCTTGCCATGCGATCTGTAAGCTCTTTGAATCACTAAGGAATGTTTTTTTTTTTTTGTTGATTTTTTTTTTTTTTTTTTTTTTTCCAAAATTTCAAGTACACTTCAGGTGTTGTACTTGTACTACATTGTCCTCAGGCTCCAGCCTTGTTTTATATTGATTGTATTAAAACAAAGAGAACAATCAGAAGTTTTTTTTTTTAATTTACCGGTCCGGCCCACTTGGGACTAGATTTCCCTCAATGTGGCCCCTGAGCTAAAATGAGTTTGACACCCCTGGTCTAGGTAAAACGAGTGAAGTGTGTCTTTAACACTGGTGTTTCCTCTTCTTCAGGTAATTAAAAATGCCTTTACCGAAGTACCCGACAGGAGACACGGTGATGGGCCGTTGGCCGGGTAGCAGCCTGTATTATGAGGTCAAGGTACTCGGTTACGATTCCAGAAGTCGACTCTACACAGTTATCTACAAGGATGGAACAGAGCTGGAGCTGAAGGAGCAGGACATCATGGTAGGACCACAGTTAGTTTTACCTGTATTTGTTTATGTTGTGGTTTTATTTCACTTTCTTATGGATACTTGATTTGATCTCCTTTTTTCCCCCATGATTGTTGTCACTATTGACAGAGTCTCGCTGGCTTCCAGGCCCGATCACGCTCACCAGGACGCCGTCGCAGTCGGTCGCGGTCCCCTGCGCGGACCACGCGGCGCTCTTCCTCTCGTGCTGCTGCTGCTGCCGCCGCGATAGCGGATGGTGCAACACCGTCTCGCAAGGACCCAAAGCAGAGAGACGCGCTGGAGGTCAGGCTCATCCCAGTATTATGTGTGCTTACAAAATAGAATTAGATAAAGTAGGTATCTCCGCCTTTACCTGTTTTAGTCGGCTGAAGGTAAATTTCTGTGTATTCATTGTGTAAAAAGTCTGGTTTCAGGTACAAAATAATCTTTGCAATTAGGATTGGGCGATATGGACCAAAACTTATATCTTTGTCTTTTAGCTGAATTCCGATATTCGATATATATCTCGATATTTTTCCTCCTGTAAAATATTTACACGTTAACTCACTTCAAGCTGTCGTGAGAAATTATAAACATAAATCAGTAGATTAAATGCATAAAAATGTAATGATTCTTGTCAAACTTTAAGCTTAGTGCCTATTCTCTGGTACAGCTGTCTGTTAACACACACACACACACACACACACACACACACACACACAGTTGAGAGCTAGAGGTGTATCAAATGTCCCACAGGCACTTTTTAATTATATATTTATAATTAATGTAAAAATATTTAAATTTCATCTAGAGGTGGCCGATATCGTATATTTCTTGTCCAGAGAAAATAAATCTGTCATGTTAAACTAAATGTATGATGATGTCATTGCATCTACTGAAGATCACATGGGTCATGCACCGTGGAGTTATTAGTTATCAGGGCAAACATGGCTGGAGTCTAACAGTATTGGCTCATATCAGCGATTATACTGTAATGACTCAGTCTCTGGTTGCCAGGCTACTGTCGCCGTAACCCACGCCTTACAAACTCTTCACTTTTTCAACAGAATCGCTCGTAACGGAGTATTTACTAGCATAGCAAACCAGAGCGGAAAATAACGTTGAGCTCGCCTTCAAAATAAAACATTAACCCCATGCTTTACTATTCAAACACTTACAATATATTTAGGTAATTTGGCCACTCCGGCTATCCGTAGATGTTTCCTCGTTACACAGGGAAGGGAGGGAGGGGTCCGCACAAGCAGGATGGAAAAACAGAACTCCGTTGGTGTTGAACGTCCCAAATAATTAAAAACCATGCTGCCAAATGCAAAGTTTAGAGCAGCACGTTTACCCAGAGGCTCTCAGACTGAACAAACTTGTGAGAATACGTGTAACAACCGCTTAGAGACGGAGCAACATGTCGCTAGCATAGCAGTTTGACCAGTTATATCGATATAAAGATATAAAGTCATCTTATATCTTGTTTAAAAATTACACCAATATTTAAAAAATATCCATATATCGCCCAGCCCTATTAGCAATGTGTTTCTGTCTGAAAAAGATCTTAGAAGAGACCTTAGCTTATTTAAAAATGTCCCTACCTCCCTTTAATTCTAGCGTTTGACCCCAACATGTCTGTTCTTTGTGTCTCATCTCTACTTCCTCTGTTTGACGGCTGCTACAGACGAGGCCCACTGAGAATAACAGCAACGATAAGCATGAGCAGAAGGACGAGAAAAGCATGGCTCCCAGAGTCAGTGAGGTTAGTCTTGAGCTGTGGTCCAATCCGGTCCCCCACTCCTTGATTTCAGGTGTCATCGAATGAGAAGCTGTCACAAAGCAGTCGTGTCAGACTGACCTGTTGCTGGTCTCATTTCATTTAGCTGTGGGTCTTTGTCTCCGTGTTTTCCATGCTCAGCACTTTGATGTTGGGCTCGTTTAGCCAACTTCCAAGTCTAAAATGCTCCTACAGTGTACGTATTCCTAACCGCTTCATTTTTGAGTACATTTATTTGATCATGTGCCAAGCCTTTCTTCTTCTGTGGTTTTGATAGTGGTATTCTCATGCAGACTCGTGCAGGTGGTTCTCTTGTTTAAAAGGGGGGGGGGGGGGGGCTGCAGGGTGTGTTCCAACTACAGGGAATCACACTTCTGAGCTTCCTTGGTAAGGTCTATTCAGGGGTTCTGGAGAGGAGGGTCCGCCGGATTGTCGAACCTCAAATTCAGGAGGAGCAATGTGGTTTTTTCCTGGCCGTGGAACACTGGACCAGCTCTGTACCCTTAGGGGGTCCTGAAGGTTGCGTGGGAATATGTCCAACCAATCTTCATGTGTTTGTGGATTTGGAGAAGGCGTTTGACCGTGTCCCTCAGGGGGCCCTGCGGGGGGTACTCCGGGAGTATGGGGTACCAGGCCCTCTGATACGGGCTGTTAGGTCCTTGTATGACCGGTGTCAGAGCTTGGTCCGCATTGCCGGCAGTACGTCGTACGAAGAGAGTTGGCCAAGGCTGCCCTTTGTCACAGATTCCATTCATAACTTTTCAGGACAGAATTTCTAGGCACAGCCAAGGTGTTGAGGGGATCTGTTTTGGTGGCCTGAGGATCGAGCATCTGCTTTATGCAGATGATGTGGTCCTGTTGGCTTCATCAGAACATGATCTTCGGCTTTCGCTGCAGCGGTTTGCAGCCGAGTGTGAAGCAGCTGGAATGAGAATCAGTTCCTCTAAATCAGAGACCATGGTCTTGAGTCGGAAAAGGGTGGAATTCCTTCTCCGGGTCAAGGATGAGGTCCTGGAGGAGTTTAAGTATCTCTGGGTCTTGTTCATGAGTGAGGGAAAGATTTAGCGCAAGATTAATAGACGGATTGGTGCTGGGTCTGTCTTGGTTTAAGAGAGCTGAGCCGGAAGGCTAAGCTCTCGATTTACCGGTCAGTCTCTGTTCCTACCCTCACCTATGGTCAGTTTTAATATCAGGTGGGTCATTATAGCTGAAGCTGCAACTAGAGTCAAACCTGGCTTGTTCTGTCATTCAGACACAATTCTGATTGCTCTACAGCCGAGAAGGACACGGGGAAACGAGCTCTAACCCTAGATCAGAGTACAATGCAACGCCAACAACCCGTTACAGTCCGTCAGTGTGTGCTGTGATGTTGGCTTCTTGTTGGTTCTGTCGCAGCAGTACTCCCACCAGATGTTTTTGCTTTGTTTCTTTATTGAACGGATCAGCCTGAGAACAAAGAAGAGGCGCAGCCTGAGAAGAGCCAGGGTCGTTACAATCTGCGCCGGAGGAAGGATGACGGAGATGTGGAAACAGTAAATGCTAAACCGGAACCCAAGCAGCAACCGGGGGCTACGACACTGGCAGCTGCTTGGGCCACACCGCCTGTCCCGCTGGATTTCGGAGGGAAGCTAGGTGGGTAAACTTTACCCTGTGGGATGACGGATATATTCCAGTATAACAACATAGTGTGGTTATCTACTCCACAGGAGCATTTTTCTGGCTGCTTTTCCTTCCAGCTTGGGTTCTGTTTCTGATTCTTCAAGTCAACCAAGAAGACCCCAGTCTGACTAACTTCCCTCCTCCTTTTCCTCCTCTGGAGACTTTCTGGGACCTCCGGGCTCTTGGCTTTGTGCTCCTCTGGATCTTGCTCCAGGCTCTGCTCTACATTTTACCGATTGGAAAGGTGAGTGAGAGGACCTGAGTCTACTGGGAGGTGGGCGGTGCTTCCGTGTCTCTGTTCTAGCATCCTTGTGAAGCATCACATGACCTGGCAAAAGGCAGAAGCAAAATAAATATAATAGTTTTTCCCGTTTCCACAAGAACCCATGCTGGGTTTCTGTCCACGTTTGAATCTACTGTTGTCTCTGGTTTGATTTTAGACTTTTGTCTCTTTCTCCGTAGCTCAGTGATGGTGTCCCACTGAGGTCTGGTGAGACACTTCGATACAGAACCAACGGTAAGTGTGTGATGCTGAGCCAGCATCGGTCTCTTTAGTCCTAACTAGAGAGCACTTCTGAACACAATGAGGTGGACCAGACCGTGCCGGGTCAGCAACAAAGGCCCAGAGGATGCAGTGAAGTTGTGTGTGTAGAACAATATCACGTCACAGCAGAACTGCTGACAGCTCGTTCTTCAATGGGTCCAATAAATGGACAAGGTTTTTAGTTTTTTTGAACTGTGTGACTGGTAGAAAATTACTAGAAATTTGCTAAATATCACATATATATATATATACGTATATATACATATGTATGTATACATATATGTAATATATATATGTATACATATATATATTACATATATGTATACATACATATGTATATATACGTATATATACATATGTATGTATACATATATGTAATATATATATGTATACATATATATATGTATACATATATATGTATATACATATATATATGTATGTATATACATATATATATATGTATATACATACATATATATATGTATGTATATACATATATATGTATGTATATACATACATATATATGTATATACATACATATATATATGTATGTATATACATATATATGTATGTATATACATACATATATATGTATATACATATATATGTATATACATATATATGTATATACAGTAAATCCATTGCTCATGTTGACTTGTGCTACTACAGAATAATACCGTCCAATATACACATTCCTGCAACTGACCAGAGCGTCTCACACGTAAACCAGTTTAAGACAGGCAGACATGGCAACACCAGTGACTTCTTAGTGGGGAGGGAGGAGAGTGATCCACATGGAATTACGCCTACAGTTTTAAAGTGATGCCAGTATTTTCTGCCGGGTCACATTTGGCCCATGACACCACAAATGTTACCTTTTTTTTAGAGACGTTCAAAATTGACTAAAATTGTAAAAATCTAATTGACCCGAACACAATACAAGGGTTAAAAGAAAATGTGAGTGCTTAATAGTTGATTAGTTCATTGCAATAAAGTCTTAATTGTATTTTTAGAAGTTCTTAAAAAAAGTAAAGTTTGAGATCCCTGCATTTACCCTGTTATCACATTAGCTTAGCTTTTAATCCATATCTTACCTGACCCAAGGGTTACTTCCCTCTGCTGGGGTAATCTCCTCCATCTCATGTTGACCTCTTGTGTTCTGCTTCTGCCAGGATCACTCTGATGTTTGGCTGTTGCACACGAGTGTTCATGCCACACTGGGAACTCTAGAAGGTACACAGGCAGACTGCAATGACGTCTCGCCCCAGCAGGACACGCTACGTCGCCAAAAGCATACGTCCCTAAGCAGACCAATAACCAAAAAGCTAAAAAGATAGAGTAAAGCACTTCCGTTAACACTTCTTTTAGAGTCTGCTCATGACCCAGCTCTCTTCCTCAAGCCCTCGCTTTGGTCTCAGACTCAAGCTGTGGGTCTCTTTTTCCCGTCTTCCAGCTGCACATTCATCCTCCTTTACACATAAAAACCCACTAAACTGCAGAGAAGTACCGATCGGTCACAGATCGCTCCGTTATCTAAACTTTTGCCAAGAGTTCTGTCTCTGCTCCTCTTCGTGAGATCATCACACCCGCTGTCACTGAGCTTCCTCTTGTCTCTCTGCAACACTAAACACTACAGAACCATCAGTTGAAAATGTGAAATTTCCACCAACAGCAAAGCCATCGGATGTTTTTGTGTTTGATTCTTTATGCTCCCCGTCCCAAAAGTGTGTTTTCATTGGTCGGTTGCAGACAGGAATCGTAGGTTTTCAAGCGGAAGACTGTTTGGTCATGAGACGGCTCAAAAAGCTGTTGTGGAGCCGGTCACACCGTACGTGCACATACATGCAAATCACCCTCGTGGTGACCGTCTTTTGTCTCGATTCTGCTCAGGACGAGGGGTTTGGCTAAGAGCCAAAAACGACACCGTGTGAACGGGGCATGGGAGTGGCTGTGAGTGGTGCGCTCTGTGCCGTGTGTGTCAGACCTACGATACTTCTCTAATCACCTGCATGAGTTGATCGCCCATCATATGTTGGACTGATGACCAGTATCGGTTGGAAAAGGGTTCTATATTGCCCGACCCTAGTAGGAAGTCTTGTTGTTGGGATGTTATCCTGGAATACTGGGATGACTATTCCTCACTCCTCTACAGGAGTCAGAGGTTCATCTGACTACAGGCGTGCTCTTGTTGAGGGGGATGCGTCTCCTGTTCTGTGTGTGACGGTCCATGTCCTCTGTGTCCCTGTCCAGGGTTCTTTGCCTTCGCGGTGAGTGCCGCTGTGGTGGCAGCAGCGATGTACCTCGATGTGGACCTCACCTACATTCACAGCCACTTCCTGCAGTTGGCTGTGGCCTCCTTCCTCGTCTCCCTGCTCCTCAGTGTCTACCTGTTTGTCCGCGCTCGCTCTGCTGGTCTTGGAGAGCTGGCTCTGGGGGGGAACTCGGGTATGTGGAAACACCTGGAGTCTGGTGAGGCATCCACAGACGGCTAACAGATGTTTACTTGTCCCTTCAGGAAACGTGGTCTATGACTTTTTTAAAGGACGAGAGCTGAATCCTCGTATCAAAGGCTTTGATCTGAAGTTTTTCTGTGAGATGCGTCCTGGACTCATCGGCTGGGTAAGTGGGGTTGGGAGGCAGACTCCTGCTCAGTTTGCAGAGAGATCATCCTGAAGGTGTTTGAGCAGTGGCCGCTGGTGGGCCTATTTTATACTTCTCCATCAGCTCCACGAGGGAGAGATGCACATGCATCGACAGATATTTGGCTTTCAGTCTTCTCCATCAGCTGGGGGTTGTTGCAAAACAATTCGTCTGCGAGCACGTCGAAGGGCTTTTCTGTGCGTCTCCATCCCAACGCAGGCAGAGTATAAATTAGGCTTCACGAGTAACCTCAGCAATGCTTTGGATTAGAGGTCGACTGGTATCGGTTTTTCTATTGCCGATACCGGCATGAGGCGGTCGTGGTCAGCCGATAAGTAGGGATGCAACGATACCACTTTTTTTCCAAACCGATACGATACCGATACTTGGGTCTGAGTACTCGCCGATACCGATATTTCTACCACACACAAAAAAACAATGATTTGGGTTACAGATTTTATTTTCTTCTCTGCTTTCAACAGGAAAAGACTGGGGTAGTTAAAAAGTAAAATATATGAATGGAAATCATCACAAAACTAAAATATTAGGTGAACAGAAATGACAAGTTACAGTGAAGCTATTTTCAAGCAACTGCATTGGTATCGGTTAACTTTTACCGATACTGGTATTGGTATCGGCGCCAATACCGAAACCAGTATCGTATCTGTTAACTTTTACCGATACCAATACCAGTATCAGTAAAAGTTAACAGATACGATACTGGTATCGGTATCGATGCCGATACCAGTATCGTATTGGTGCATCCCTACCGATAAGTGCTGCAGGTTTTTTGTCTCGGTGTCTGGCGCCTCATCTGAAACGTTAATTGTCACCAACAGTGACGGTGGGTGCACAAGAATCCCTGTAGCATCTTTTCTTCCTGTTTAGGTCCAGTGGACCGCGTCTTGATTCCAACTAACTAGACGTGGAAATGCTTTAAAATAGTTGCGCAGTGTCGTCGTCACTTTGTGGTTCAGTCTGGATGACAACAGGAAGTGCTACGTTTATTTTTCACACGTTGGATCGCTCTTAATTGTGACAACAAGCCAGTAAGTTTCTGTTTGAGGATCAGCTCCTCTCGTATAAACGTTAACGCTCAATGAACCGGGTTCTCGGCCAGTAAACATCTGTGTTCCTGTTAGCGCCGATAGCATCGCTGCTAGTTCCGTCAGACTGGCTGAGACTGTCTGAAAACAGCTGACTACTTTACTCCAGTAAAACATGCATGTAGCCAGATGGATCAATGTAAATAATACCTGAATGATGTTAATTCTAGCATTATTCATAACTCTGGAACATCTGGATTTAAATTTATTTTCATTCAACCAAGAAGCAGCAAGAGGTTTTTAAAAATGCTTTTATTTGAATAAACAAACACGCTCCGCCCTCTCGGTCTGCCAGGCAGCTGCTTTTGTTTCATTCTTCAAAGAAGGGGGTGGAGTAAGACTCTGGCAGGGGGTGACTTGCTCTTTACAGACATGAAAATTCCTCACCCATCGGGAAAAATTGCCGTTTTGAATCCAAAATGGGTCACCTGCGTGATTCGTGCAGATGCTAGGAGAAAATATTTGGGGGGCGGGATACAGCGAGGTCGGCTTTTACAGTTAAACGGTTTTTAATATTATCCACTGGGTTTAAGACGTCCCTGACACCACCGACAGCAGAAAAAAGTTGATGAATCTGTGACGTGCGACCAGCGTGAACGCCTCTATGGCTCCTGTCCGGTCTAGACCTCCAGGCGGCTTTTCCTGCTTGTGAGATCCGAGCCCGACGGGTCGGATCAGACTTGGGTCGATGAATAATTTAGCCAGCCTCCTGCTGGTGGTATTATTATTATTATTATCATCACAAATATAACATAAACATGTTGTAGGTTTAGGATTCTTTATGGTTTTAGTGTTTTCAGCAGCAGAGCCTGGTCCGTTTCCTTTGGGTTCAGACAGAATAATAAACATTATTATTTATCTTATTTCATCCGTCATTTATTTAGTTTTTAAAGCTCAAATTTTAAGTTGCTAATTTAAAAACAATCATTTAAATATAATTAAACAACCTGTTAAACAGCAGGTTGGAATCTGCTCACTAACATGTTCCCGTGGGACACCCCCAGACCAACCCCCATCTCCTGATGTCCTCTCTGTCCGGCTCCATCCTCAGAGCTGAGGACGAGACAGGGACACGTGGTAGACAGGCTTTGCTGCCCTGAGTCCAAACAAGAATCTCTACTTGATCAGGTGTGTCTGAGCAGGGACACGTAGAAAACATGCAGCCACTGTGATCTGCTCCCCCGGTTAATGTCCTAAATCACTGCTACTTGTGTGTGTGTGTGTGTGTGTACGTGTGTGTGTGTGTACGTGTACGTGTGTGTGTGTGTGTGTGTGTACGTGTGTGTGTGTACGTGTACGTGTGTGTGTGTGTGTGTACTAGGGCTGGGGGTAAACGATTATTTTTAAAACGATTATTCTGACGATTATTTTATCGAATAGTCGACTATTCTAATGACTATTTAGAAAATTAATCTAATGATTATTTTTCTATTGCACAATTAACAAAAACCAGAAAATCTCAAATAAATTCCTCAAAAAAATTGATAAATTGTTACTGTAAGAGAATAAACACTACAGGCCTTCCATTTTGTATAACACTGCGTTTATTGTGTTGGTTGGTTATGTTCTGGTGACATGTAGAACTTGGGAGTGCAGGCTGCTGCCTGAGAGGTGGTAGAAGATGGAGTGTCTCCATGCTGCTTTGTTTTGGTCACTTATGTGCGTGAGGCGAGTGGTCTTACGGGTTAAACCAAACTCAGGTGATATTTTACACTAAACCGAAAACCCACAACACTCTAAATGTAATAAAAGGGAGATCTACACCACAAAAAAGATTAACTCTAAACCAAAACGTAACAGCTTATCCCAACGCAAGAAGCTGTTAGCGAAGATGCTAACAGTAGCTTTACCAACATTAAGTTCAAGTTACCAAGTTTAAATAAACCAAAACACCCAGCAGCAAACAGACCAGCACGGAGGAGAGACTGCTACCACCAAAACAGCTCTCCTCGTGTCTGAAAGAAGCTCCTTAATGAAGGGAGAAGCGCTCCCGGTGATTTTCTACATCTGCGATAGACACGAAGCAGCGCATCTGACCCCGGAAGTTGTTGTCTGTTGCCGGGAGACGAAGGCGGGCAAAACAGGAAAATAATCTAGTAGTGGACGGACGTTGTTCCGGGTCTTCGGTATTTGGCGGAGATGTTAGTGAAGGTGGAGAAGAGGGCGAACTAGAGGAAAAACAGGCAGATTCCTCCTCTATTTACAAACTCCTGGGGATGCAACAAGTGGGCGCGGTGCGTCGACTTCCGGATCTGACGTCGACAAATTTTTAGAATCGAGCCGTCGACTTCGTCGAGGCTTCGCTACAGCCCTAGTGTGTACGTGTACGTGTGTGTGTGTGTGTGTGCGTGTGTACGTGTACGTATGTGTGTGTGTGTGTGTGCGTGTGTGTACATGTGTGTGTGTGTACATGTGTGTACGTGTGTGTGTACGTGTGAGTGAGTGTACATGTGTGTGTGTGTGAGTGAGTGTACATGTGTGTGTGTGTGAGTGAGTGTACGTGTGAGTGAGTGTACATGTGTGTGTGTGTGTGTGTGTACGTGTGAGTGAGTGTACGTGTGTGTACGTGTGAGTGAGTGTACATGTGTGTACGTGTGAGTGAGTGTACGTGTGTGTACGTGTGAGTGAGTGTACATGTGTGTACGTGTGAGTGAGTGTACATGTGTGTGTGTGTGTGTGTGTGTGTGTGTGTGTGTGTGTGTGTGTGTCTGTGTCTGTGTACGTGTGTGTATGTGAGTGAGTGAGTGAGTGAGTGAGTGTACGTGTGTGTGTGTGTGTGTCTGTGTACGTGTGTGTATGTGAGTGAGTGAGTGTACATGTGTGTGTGTGTGTGTGTGTGTGTGTCTGTGTCTGTGTACGTGTCTGTGTACGTGTGTGTATGTGAGTGAGTGAGTGAGTGAGTGAGTGAGTGAGTGTACGTGTGTGTGTGTGTGTGTGTCTGTGTACGTGTGTGTATGTGAGTGAGTGAGTGTACATGTGTGTGTGTGTGTGTACGTGTGAGTGAGTGTACATGTGTGTACGTGTGAGTGAGTGTACATGTGTGTGTGTGTGTGTGTGTGTGTGTGTGTCTGTGTCTGTGTACGTGTGTGTATGTGAGTGAGTGAGTGAGTGTACGTGTGTGTGTGTGTGTGTGTCTGTGTACGTGTGTGTATGTGAGTGAGTGAGTGTACATGTGTGTGTGTGTGTGTGTGTGTGTGTGTGTGTGTCTGTGTCTGTGTACGTGTGTGTATGTGAGTGAGTGAGTGAGTGAGTGAGTGAGTGAGTGAGTGTACGTGTGTGTGTGTGTGTGTGTCTGTGTACGTGTGTGTATGTGAGTGAGTGAGTGTACATGTGTGTGTGTGTGTGTACGTGTGAGTGAGTGTACATGTGTGTACGTGTGAGTGAGTGTACATGTGTGTACGTGTGAGTGAGTGTACATGTGTGTGTGTGTGTGTGTGTGTGTGTGTGTGTGTCTGTGTCTGTGTACGTGTGTGTATGTGAGTGAGTGAGTGAGTGTACGTGTGTGTGTGTGTGTGTGTGTGTGTGTCTGTGTACGTGTGTGTATGTGAGTGAGTGAGTGAGTGAGTGAGTGTACATGTGTGTACGTGTGAGTGAGTGTACATGTATGTGTGTGTGTGTGTGTACGTGTGTGTGTGCGTGTGTGTACATGTGTGTGAGTGAGTGTACATGTGTGTGTGTGTGTGTGTGTGTGTGTGTGTGTGTGTGTGTGTGTGTGTGTGAGTGAGTGAGTGAGTGAGTGTACCTATGTGAGTGTGTGTGTGTGTGTGTGAGTGAGTGAGTGTACATGTGTGTGTTTGAGTGAGTGTACATATGTGTGTGTGTGTGTGTGTGTGTGTACGTGTGTGTATGTGAGTGAGTGAGTGAGTGTACCTA